TGGAGTGGATGATTAACTTTGCTTTTGAGTCCTGGTCACAAAAGCAAAGTTTGTGGGGAATAATAGCCATCGTCTGTACTTTTGAGGCATACGCAATTGGAAAATAACACTACCCAGGAACAAAAACAATGGTTTTGTTACACAGTAGCTATCAGAATCAAAATCTTTGTTAATGCTGAAGGAATCCGATGAGCTATAAAGCTCGTTTTCACAGATGTCCAGCAGAGGCGGGTGAGAACGTGACAATAACAAGCAGTACAAACACCACAAGAGTGGGGAGGGTCTAGGAAAGATAAACAAATGACTTGTTTAAAAATAGATGCAAATAAAACTAAAGATTTGTTTTATCTTGCCAGGTAGAGCCCACTAAGCTATTAGCTCCCTTTTCAGAAGCGATCTGGCCACACATAATAACCCAACGAAGTGGCTTATTATCACATGGAAATGTCTAGCAGCCAAATAATCTAAACGCACATTGTTTCTAAATGTGGGGGGGAAAATCGAAGGACCCGGAGAAAAAAATTGACGCGACCACGGGGAGAGAGAGAGAGACACGCAAACTCCAAATATAGAGCAGCAGCAGGCATCAGGGTTGGCATCGAACCTCCGACCTCCTACATACCAGACGGGTACAATAACGTCACCGTGGGGTCCCTTAATGAAAAAAAGAGTAGAGATACAGGAGGGGGTCGATTTAAGAATGTTATTTTCCTGCCACGGCAGGAGATCGAACCGACGACCTCAGGATCGCAGATCCAGTGCGATAACCACTCCACCACGGAACAGTAATTCACATTTGTAAATGACAAGACAACCCACAACAGAAACAGAGGCATCTAGCAGCAGCAAACATTGATGACTGTACCGTACTGATGAGTACTAATGAGGACGAAACCGGTCCGTCTTTGTTTCACCGCTACCGAAAATTTCTAGACTCTTTGAGTTAGCGGTCTGAAGTGTCTCTCAACGACACAATGGTAACACGTACAGTTCCTTTGAGCTTCCGTGCATTGTTAAATTTATCACGAAAATGGACAATACGGTTAATTTTACGCGCAGCTTTTCACGACCAATGTTACAATTCATAATGAGTTCATTTTGTGTTAGATCTCCGTGTGGGTGTCGTGCCAATTTGTGTCTAAACCCCCTCCACCACTTGACAGAGTCAATCAAATCAAGTTGTCACCCCATGGGCAAATATGCACCGACATTTGGTTTTGATTCATCAGCAAAAGCGGAGCAATGTTGAGAAGCGAGCAAGATCTTTAACTTTATTTTTGTATGTTCTTTAAAAAAATCAACATTACATCCAACATCATCATCGGCAGGCGTTAACACGCGCTCAACGTGATTGTTGACGTTTATTTGACTTGTTACAGGGATAATGTCCGCGCTCTTACCGAGAACTGCTGGGCCTTACCTGGTAAAATGAGGGCCACGGTAGCGAGATGTCAATTACCTCCCCTGGTATACAGGAGGTTGTGGCTTCAATCCCAACCCTGACGCCTGCTGTATGTTTGAGTTTGCGTGTTTCTCTCTTCCCGCGGTCGCGTGAAATTTTTCTCCGGGCCCTCCGGGTTTCCTCCCTCCACATTTACAATCAACATCACGCGTTTAGAGTCTGGCTACTGCTGTAAATGTCCACCGTGATGATAAGCCCACTTCGTTGAGCTATCGCGTGTGGCCAGGTTGCTTCTGAAATAGAAAGAGCTACATAGCTCAGTGGGCCTTAAGTGGTAAAATAACAAAAAACAATTGTTTAAGTTTTAAAACACATTCATGCGGAGGGAGCTGGTAGGAATGTTGGGTTGCTCGGTCAATGGCCAGGGTCAACGGCGGCGTGGTGTATTCCGCAAATATGCCCGAATGTGAGGGCAGGCACAAGCCGGCGTGAGTAGGTTAAACGTTGAGTTTTATAAGGGCACCACGGGGTGACCAGCCCCTCCCCACCCAGCCCCTCCCCTCCCACCCCCCACCCGGCCCCACCCTCCCCACTCAGCCCCTCCCCACCCAACCCCTCCCCACCCTCCCCACCCAGCCCCTCCCCACCCTCCCCTCCCCACCCAGCCCACCCTCCCCATCCTCCTCTCCCCACCCAGCCCCTCCCTCCCCACCCAGCCCCACCCCTACCATTTTTGGATGCACGACGGACGGACACAATAATCCCCTGTGGGCTGCTGGAACCAGGTGGTTCCTACCAGTATAAACAAAAATGAGTTTAGAACTCACCACCGCCGTGACGCAGACGTGTGGTGCCGTAACTGTTTCCTCTTCAACTCCCTGCGCAGTCACCACCGAAGTGGGGCGGGAAGCTTGCGTCACCGACAGCCATCAGACCCTGCGGTAACTGTGATGATCGAGCCGCATCGCGGCAGAGTACTACGGCGCACTCCGGAACACCGGGACGTTTCAAAACGCGTGGCGATGACTCCCTCCGACGTTGCGCAATGTGCAAGGCCGTCAACGTGGCTGTCACCGTGTCATCTCGGCGCTTTATGAAATCATTCATTTCATTTTGATGTTGAGCTAAGGAGCCGTACGTAAATGACGTCACGCTGTTTTGGACGATTTTTGACCCCCCCCCCCCCCCTCGTCACACGGCGTGACAAAAAGTCAGATATGACGTCACAACGCTCTGCTCCCCCCCCCCAAAAAAATAAAACATTCTTCAAATCGATTTAAACTATTTTCATTGTAATGCGTATTTAATGTGGCGCTGCACTCTGCTGTTGTAGGAGAAAACATTTAATAAAAAGTATGTTTAATTAAGTAGAACGTGTTGTCTATATTTATTTAAAGTTGCACATTTTTATGTAACGTCACATTTCGCAACCCCCCCCCCCCCCCTCGTCACACATCGTCACAAATATCTGACCCCTCCCCTCTCCTAGATGCGTGACGTCATTTATGGACGGGCCCTAAGATATGGGGACCACAATGCACTTCTTCAGGAATTCCTAGTGGTTGTTTGCATAATGCAGAAAGGCTGAGTGATATTTCAACGTCTTTATTTGTGGCGTATGGGAATCGTGGTGATGCCTACAGCGTGCAGTGACGCTGTAATGTGTACTTAATATGAAGCGATGATTAAAATTACAGTCAGAGCCCCGGTTCACGTCGGGGATGGCTTCCTGACAGGTTGCGACGACGAATTTTGAAACGTCACTCAAAGCGATGTACAGGGTAGTCGTCGTAGTAGTGGGGGGTGGTGGTGGTAGTAGTAGTCGTAGTAGTCGTAGTAGTAGTAGTGGGGGGTGGTGGTGGTGGTGGCGGAGGGCGGGGAGGCGACGGACAACGAGGCAGGACGGACGATGCTGTCAACGACGTAAGTGTGGGGCTTGAGGCGACGCAGATCACGTGGAGGCAGTCGTACTTAATAATAAAGCGACAACGCATTTGCGAAACGACGGAGAAGGGGGAGTCGTAAATTGGTGTATCCCTGTAGCACGAACATGGACAGGCGTTCACCTGTCCATTTCCTTATCACGGCTTATTGTCCTTCCCCCGCACCTCCGATTAGCGCGGCTGGCTACGTACGGCGCGAAAGAAGTTCAACATGCACACGGCACACACGTACGCACAGGACACACGCACGCACAGCACACACGCACGCACATGACACACGCACGCACAGCACACACGCACGCACAGCACACACGCACAGCACACACGTACGCACAGCACGCACGCACAGCACACACGTACGCACAGCACACACGCACAGCACACACGTACGCACAGCACACACGCACGCACAGCACACACGTACGCACATGACACACGCACGCACAGCACACACGCACGCACAGCACACACGCACAGCACACACGCACGCACATGACACACGCACGCACAGCACACACGCACGCACAGCACACACGCACAGCACACACGTACGCACAGCACACACGCACGCACAGCACACACGTACGCACATGACACACGCACGCACAGCACACACGCACAGCACACACGCACGCACAGCACACACGTACGCACAGCACACACGCACGCACAGCACACACGCACGCACAGCACACACGTACGCACAGGACACACGCACAGCACACACGCACAGCACACACTTACGCACAGGACACACGCACGCACAGCACACACTTACGCACAGCACACACGCACGCACAGCACACACGTACGCACAGCACACACGTACGCACATCCCGACTCCGAACCGATCCCGAGGAGCGTCTCCGAAAAAGTGCCGCGCGAGAGACGTTCACCGCCCAGCGGTGATTGCGCGACTTCACGCGCGCGCCAAGCCGCATGCGAGCCGGCGCCTCGCCGCGCCCCGAAAATCCTCGAGGACGAGGAGCCTCCTCCTCCTGCTCCACTCCGCAATCGCTCGCCCTCTGGCCGCCCGCCCGCCCGCTGCTGCAGTGATGACGCGGCTCTCTCGAGAAAGGGAGCAGCTCCCACCCCGAACTCTGCAGCAACCACCACCACCACCCCCCGCCCCCATTCGCCAAGGCTCCCTGCGAGGTCGTTCTACTGCCCACTCTCCCTTCACAGGATATTGCTCTCCAAAAAACATTGCCCGAACAGACTGTTGGGGCAAATGCTGTTTGCGAGCGCCTATGAAGGCCGGCACGGCAACACGAGAGGAGTGGGTGGCCAGCACCACGCCCGATCGCCTTTGTCTCCCCAATGGCGATGTTTCACACATCGCATGAGGTGCTCACTTGAGGCTGAGTCGACCTAGGCGCGGCCCATGACCGCTTCAGATAATTACCGTCACTGGTGTTGGCCGCGAGCGGGAATCCAATTCGGGTCACCGGTTTCGTAGCGCAGCGTAGCGCTCACCACTACACCACCGCCACTCTCATCTTACGAGCTCCCCTCTCTCCTTCGACCACTGCCAATATCTGCCATCGTCAGCAGTCCCCCCAACCCTCCGCAGGGCCCCTAGACCCCCCCCCGCCCCCATCGTAACTCTGGCACGCGCGCGAGGAGCGGCCACTCCCCTCTCTGTTGCTCGTGAATCGATCCGTGATGGATTGATGTCTCCCAATGCTGACGCGCCCGCTCTACCCATATATAAGCGACGCTCCCGCCGTGCCGCATTCGACGCAGCCAGCGAGACGAGAAGACCCATCCCAGCCACAGCACAAGACCAGCCCGCCCCGGCATTCCTAAAGGTACAGGATTTCGCCCTCGACTCGGTAAGACGACTGCTCTAAGGGTGGTTGGTGGTGGTGGCGGCGCGGTGGTTTTGCGCGCCCGGCAACCTGAGTTCGATTCCCGGCCACGGTTAACATCAGTGGCGAGTGGATATCTGACCGGGTCCTGCATTGCGGCCCCCACCCTGTGCTGACCAGCGTGCTGAAGTCTGGTTAAGCAACCACCCCCTCCCCCACCCCTATGGGCCGACTCGGCGTGCGGAGGCCTTCATCCAGCAGTGGAGTGACACGAGGAACTCCTGCGCATGTTTGGTGATTGTTACGTCTTAAAGGGAAGAGCGGCGAGCGGAGTTTGTGCAGAGACACCGAAGTCCTCCTCCTGCTCCGCGCGTCTCGTCTTGCCGTCGCCGCACGTGGCCGCGACGCGGCGGCCCAGCGGTCGCGCGCTCGTCGCTTATAGCAGGGGGGAGGGGGGCTCTAGCCCCCCACACCTCACCAGTGGCGTGGTAAAGTACACTACCAGCTCAGGGGGGGAGGGGGGCAATCTGTCAGGTGGGGCCCCAATACTGCTCGAATAACAACAACAACAACACGTGGAACGTAACTGGAAGTATTTACATAAAATGTATAAACCGCGTTTTAAATAAGCGCTGTTGTTATTTTACACTGTTGTTGAAAACAGATCTAACGGTGGTTGCCACGGGGGGGGGGCAACTCGTAGCTTTGGCCACCAGTTGGGGCGGGGGGGGGAGGCAAGGCACCCCCTGCCTGCCCCACGCGAAGTTACGTTCCTGCCCACGACCTTCTCTTGCTTCTTACACCTCTCACGACTCTGTCCCATCCCGCACTCTACGCTCCCGATCTCGAACCACGCCGAGTCGCCTTGTGCCCCACAGGGACAGCTGCCACCGGGAGTGCCCCTTTTAAAAATGTTTCAGATGAGATGTGATGCGCTCTGAGACTCACAGGCTTACATATATCAAAAACAAATCAGTATCATCATCATTATCGTTAAACTCCTCAGTATTTAATTATCAGAAGTTAAGCAGAACCGTGCCTGGTTAGCACCGTACTTGCATGGGAGACTGCCAGCGAATGCCAGGCGTTGTTGTCGGCTTGGGCTGCTTAGGTAGCCAAAAGATTATGTATATCAGTGACGGATTGTAGAATCCATCTTTGCGATGACATTTGCCCTCTGGTATGCGTGATGGGGTGTTATCCGATTTTATCCGGTTTTCTCCTACTTTAAGTCAAATATTAATGAATGGAAATGGCCAAACATCGCAATGTCGCATCAGGAGTACGCTGGCGAACGAAGAGTGAGACAGCGATATCCTGCTGGGTTTAATCATTGGTACTTTCATCATCAACCATCCTACCTCAAACGAGTAGCAGACTGCATCGTGTTCCGAGACAGCGCCTGGTGGGTCACATCAATGTGCAATAGCCGGAGCGGAATTTTCTTTTTAACATTGCGCAGTGATCGAGATGATAATGATCATGATCAAGAGTGTTTCTCAACACCACGCATACGCGAACTCAACCCCACGCAGCAGCATCAGCAGCAGCACGCGTGAGTGACATTCACACCGAGCGCTTTGTGTGTGCGTGCGCGTGGTCTTTTAAAGACCTCTCTCGTTGAAGTACAGGAGGAAAACAAAGCAAGAGGAATGGACGCTCTGAAGAAAGGCTTCTCCAAGGCGAAAGAGGGCGTGAGCTCTGCCGCAGAGAAGACGAAGCAGGGCGTGACGGACGCGGCCGGGAAAACCAAGGACGGAGTCGTGGCCGTGGGTAAGGGTGGCGCGCGCACCCCGCACGGAGACAGCTGCACACGCGCTGAGCTCTCCTTTGAACGATTTACTGGACGTCTGTGGCACAAAGGAGATTTGTAGCTCATCGTATTCCGCCAGGGTAAATACACGTGACAATGGGCTTGCATAATGCGCATGTGTAAGGGACGTTGGTTACCATGTAAAAAAAAACAACCGGCAATGGATACCAATTGTTATTTATCTGAATTCAATAATCCCCTACCACACTTCGCTCAAGAAGGGCTCACAAGTGATGTAATCACATCTGCACCTCTATTTAAGGAACGAAACAGGAGGATTTCTTTGCAAATGTGGCTGTCGCCTGATGAAGCTAGTTGTAGTTACTGGTGAAACGTCGTACTCAGATTGTAAATGTTGTGGCTTGGCTCTCCAACACACCGGTGTTGCTGTACTAATGACGAATTGGCCATGTTCTGTTTACGTGACAAACCTTACTAGTTGGTTGTGTCAGATGGTGGCGGGTTTAACGACACATTTATATATTTATGCGATCTAATCCAAAAAACCTGTATTATGGATGATATTGGTCGCGAAAGACTTCGTGTTAAACCAATACATATACTGATTGATTTTTATATACCATCGTCATCGTTTACTATCCATCTCTCCACGCCGTGTCAAGGTGTCAAGATGTTAACGCCCTCGCCTGGTCTACAGGAGGGCGTGGGTTCGATCCCGACTCTGACGATGACTGCTGCATATTTGGGAGTCTCCCTGGTCTCTCTCCCTGTGGTCGCGTGGATTTTTCTCCGGGTCCTCCGATTTAGAATCAACACGCGTTCAGAGTGTTTGGCTGCTATAAATATTCCACGTAATGGTAAACCACTTTTTTTAGCTATAATTTGTGATAGCCACGTCGTCGCTTCTGGAAAAATGAGCTTTATGGCTCAGTTGACCTTACCTGGTAAAATAAAATATAGTTTAGTGTCGGTCATCGGCGTTGATTGACCATACTTCACCACGATGGTCAATTTGGAGTTGGTTCAGAGTGAAAGGTGGCGTGGGGGATAACAGAAGCGATCTGGTTAGTCTTCATCTCTGACGTTAGTCGTGGGCGGGAATCGAACTCAGGTGGCTGGGTTCACAGCGCAGCGCGTAGCCCACTGCTGCACGGCTCGCCCACCGCGGCAATTGCGAATGTTTCTCGTGAACCAAAGCCCCCCCCCCCCCAACAAATCTCCTGTGAAGCGGCGTAACCTGTCTCGGTACGCCGGCGGTGCCACTGCACCGGGGAGCCACAGGCCAGGGGGGGGGGTGCCAGGCACCAGGGCTACGAAGAGGGGGGGGGGGCGATTGAACAGCGCCCCCCACCCCCCCCCCCCCCCGGCCCATGCTAAGCACGCCGAGGGATCCGTGTCACCATTTCCACTGCAGCAGAGCAGTGGGAGTTGTTGTGCAGCACGGCGCAGGCAGGTCGCTCGTGAAATAGAAGCCAATAGCTCAGTGGGGCTTCAAAATTAGTGTAGTTGTTATTTGTGTAGATATGTTCAAGTGATTTGCTTGCCTGCCCTATACCCTGCGCTGTTTGTTGTTCTGGCGTTCTGACCCCGTGCCCCTTACTGGATATCTGTGAAAAAGAGCATCTTAGCTCATCGGATTCTTCCTGCAGTATAAATACAGATTCTGAAGTGGCAATTGAAGGCAGCTTAGAATCATGCAAAGTGTGCCCTCTGTGTGTATGGGTAGTTCTCACTGGGTAGTGCTTGGATGGGTGACCACCAACAGCAGTCACAGGACTGCGCGGCTACGTGGCCGTGTGTGTAGAACTTCTTTCGCACCGCACATAGCCAACCGTGCCAATCGCAGGTGCGGGAGAGCAGAGGGCAGTGCCGCATAACCAAGTTGCTGTACTGCACTATACACTACCGCGTCTATGCCCCCCTCTCTCCCCCCACCATAACGAACTCGCAGTGACCAGTGTGGGGAAGTATGGTCTATAACTCGCTGCGACACGAGCGCGTTCACGGATTGTAATTATGTGATGTAATTTACAAGTCCAAATTGTTCTTATATTTGGATTTGTATTCATGGCACGGATAATTGTTTATCCTGTTTACAGTAAGTTCTTGCGTAGATTTCATCGAAATTATTCGGCTTTGTTCTTGTTAATTTGCCCGCATCCACCCTGCAATATTCGTAACTATAGCCACTGCTGATGGTCTATGGATTTCTACGTAACTCTATGGATCTCTACGTTACTCTATGGATCTCTATGTAACTCTATGGATCTCTATGTAACTCTATGGATCTCTACGTAACTCTATGGATCTCTACGTAACTCTATGAATCTCTACGTAACTCTATGGATCTCTACGTAACTCTATGCATCCCTACCTATCTCTATGGATCTCTGCGTAACTCTGTGGATCGCTACGCAACCATATGGATCTCTGCGTAACTCTATGGATTTCAGTGTAACTCTATGGATATCTACGTAACTATATGGATCTCTACGTATCTCTATGGATCTCTACGTAACTCTATGGATCTCTGCGTAACTGCCAGCACTGGCGACAGCATTTGGCCCTCGGGCAACTTGCAACGATAAACTCCCGAGTCTGGGAACGCAGCAACGGCCGGTCACGGGAATTCCGAGCGGATTTCCCTCCGCTCTCAAAGCGACACGGCGAGCAGCAAGTTGGGTAGGGGGTGGGGGGGGGTTACGTTGAGACGTAGGCAAGAAAATAAAAAAAAGATCAAATAATATAATGCAGTGACGCTCGCTGCAGGGCAATTGCGTCACCGCAGTGTGGCGAGGGGAGGGGTGATGTGCATGGCTCAGGGCGTGGCGCTGCGATCCGATTAAAATAAAAAACGGACTGCGACGGGAATAGCCGATCGTGAAAGATGGTCTCGTACTAGAGCCGCCACGTGTCTCGCCTCCCTCGTGTCCCGCAGGCACCAAGACCAAGGACGGCGTGGCTCACGGAGTCAGCACCGGTACGGCGACTCATCCAATCCGCGGCTCACCGCACGTCTCTGCCTCACTTCACCAGTGGGGGGACGGGGGTCGGCGACCTGCGCATCTTGAGCCGCACGAGGCTGAGGGCTTGCCTTCGCGATGTTATCTATCAAGGACCACCACCCAACCGCATCGTATTAGCCACGTTGCATTGGCGGCTCTTGAAATGTTGATGGGGTTTTTTAAAAAAATATTTGACAACCGAATCCGATGCAAAATATTTGGCTCTTCTTGGTTCTGTAATTTGGCTGCCGACCTCTGCACTCGACGATTCGTCATTCAGGCCCCGGAGCTGAACGTGACGTGTGGAGTGGCACTGCGGTGGCAGGGCTGCGCAATCAGACGCACACACACCAATACACACCAATACACAATGAAATCCACGAGACATAGTTGTCAATCCCGCACGCAGGGCACCACGGTGGCTAGGAGATGTTAACTACCTCGCCTGGTATACAGGAGATCGTGGATTCGATCTCGACCCTGACGATGCCTGCTCTATATTTGGAGTTTGCGTGTTTTCTCTCTCCCCGTGGTCGCGTAGATTTTTCTCCAGTTTTTCCCCCACATTAATAAACACGCGTTTCGACTATTTGGCTTCTATGAATGTCCACATGAGTGGCTACTTCGTTGAGCTATAACTTTTGACCAGGCCGCTTCTGAAAAAGAGCTACACAGTTCAGTGGGCCTTACCTGGTAAAACAAAAATAAATGTTTATACTTTGGATAGTTTATGAGCGGCATGGTAAACAATGATGAAACGTCACCCATGACCCAAAATGGCGTGGGGAGGCCCTCATCCAGCAGTGGATTGGCAGTACAGGAATATAGATCACGTGGCTGCCTGGCGTGGTTGCCGTGGCTGCCTGGCGTGGTTGCCGTGGCTGCCTGGCGTGGTTGCCGTGGCTGAGTGGCGTGGTTGCCGTGACTGAGTGGCGTGGTTGCCGTGGCGACGCTGTCACCGCAGTGGCCGGGAAGACGAAGGAGGGGGCCCAGGCGGTGGGGGGCGCCGTGGTGAGCGGCGCCAACGCCGTGGCCACCAAGACGGTGCAGAGCGCCGAGAACGTCGCCTCCGCCGCGGGGATACACGCCAAGGAGCGCAAGGTGGGGGAGGGGGGGGCGCGGGGTGGGGCACGGGGTGGGGGGGGGCACGGGGTGGGGGGGCACGGGGTGGGGGGGCACAGGGTAGGGGTGGTACGGGGTGGGGGGGCACGGGGTGGGGGGGGGCACGGGGTGGGGGGGCACAGGGTAGGGGTGGTACGGGGTGGGGGGGCACGGGGTGGGGGGGGGCACGGGGTGGGGGGGGGCACGGGGTGGGGGGGGGGGGCACGGGGTGGGGGGGGTACGGGGTGGGGAGGCACAGGGGGGGGGGGCACAGAGTGGAGGAGGGGATCAGGGTTGGGGTGGCACAGGGTGAAGGGTGGGGGCATGGGTTGGGGGGCGTCACGGTGTGGGAGGGGGGCTCGTGGGGAAGGGTGGGGGGTGGCCTGAGTGAATGTGTGGGGGGGGGGGGGGACGGTGCGAGGAGGACAGGGGACACGGGGGGGGGGGTGCAGTTTGCTCTCGGCCTCAGATCTGGAGGGGACCTCGTCTGGCAACTCCCCGACCGGCTTTCAAAACAACAAAAATGCTGCTTCGTGTTAGAGCCCAGAGCGCGTCTATATCGGCAGAGCAACGTGGTGCAAAACGTCCGGCGCGCTGTCCTGCTGTGTGTATCAAGGCCGTAGCCATGGAGTCAACATCGGGGGGGATCAAATCTTCCAGGGGGTCTAGGGCCCCCCTCCCCCAGAAAAAAAAAATCTAAATTTTAAAACAAATTTCCTGCCTAAAATATAAAAAAATGCACTAACACATGGGATGGACTTTTTTTTACAATAATGTCAAACAGTGTATTGTATTACATTGCTCTGTTTTTTTATGTTTTACCTTTTCTTGTTTCATTGTATGTAATGACAGAGATTAGGGATTTATAAAGTACAACCATTACCACAATCATATAAACATTAATCTATGCATTGTTATATGAAGACAAGGTTTGGCAAATTTTAGTTTTTATTTACACAGCATAGAATTTTTTTAAATATTGTTTATCGCAAAATATGGGGGGGGGGGGGACATTTTGAACATATTTGAATATTGGGGGGATGTGTCCCCCCCATTATATATTATAATTACGGCCTTGGTTAGTATCGTGGGCTACGCGCGTTTCATCCGGCCGCGTCTCATCACAGGATGAGGACAAAGAGGCGGAGGGGGAGACGGCACCTGGAGCGGACGAGGCTGCACCACAGGCAAGGACAAGATCTCTTGAGACGTTACACTCAACCTCACTCACACGCACACACACGGGTCGTGTGTTACACACACAACACGGTCAGCGCGCTGCGCTACGAACGCGGCGACCCGAGTTCGATTCCCGCTCACGGCCAACACCCGTGACGATTATCTGAAGTGGTCCTGGGCTTTCCCAAGGTCGACTCAGCCTCGAATGAGTACCTGGTGCGGTGGATAAGCATTGCCACTCGGGATACAAAGGCGGCCGGGCGTGGTGCTAGCCACCCACCCCCCTCGCGTGTCTTACCGGCCTTATTAGGTGCTCACTAACAGCACTTGCCCCAACACCTGCATTATTGGTTTTAGTACTTCCAGTGTTATTCTGTTTTCATCATCTCGATACCGGCCAAAAAGGGTCCCACAGATAAAACACAGCAACTGCGGTTTTGAAAATGGTGAACGTCCTCACCTCGCGTGATTGTGCGCCGAGCAGCGCGGCAACGCGAAGCTACTCTTCAATAAAACCGTTCCGGTTCTTTTTCAACATTTTGCAGGAGTCGTAACGTTCCGCGGAATCTGCTGCTCGTGCCGCCCATCTCGACCATTTGACGTCTGGGGGATGCGTTTGTCGTCGCTGCCACCACGCTCAGCGCCTCGCCCGCTCAGCACCACCACGCTCAGCGCCTCGCCCGCTCAGCACCACCACGCTCAGCGCCTCGCCCGCTCAGCACCACCACGCTCAGCGCCTCGCCCGCTCAGCACCACCACGCTCAGCACCTCGCCCGCTCAGCACCACGCCCGCTCAGCACCACCACACTCAGCGCCTCGCCCGCTCAGCGCCACCACACTCAGCACCACCACACTCAGCACCACGCCCGCTCAGCACCACCACACTCAGCGCCACCACGCTCAGCACCACCACGCTCAGCGCCTCGCCCGCTCAGCGCCACTACACTCAGCGCCTCGCCCGCTCAGCGCCACTACACTCAGCACCACTACACTCAGCACCACCGCGCTCAGCGCCACCACTCTCAGCACCTCGCCCGCTCAGCACCACCACGCTCAGCACCACCACGCTCAGCACCACCACTCTCAGCACCACCACGCTCAGCACCACCATGCTCAGCGCCACCACACTCAGCACCACGCTCAGCACCGCCACTCTCAGCACCTCGCCCGCTCAGCACCACCGCGCTCAGCACCACCCCGCTCAGCACCACCACGCTCAGCGCCTCGCCCGCTCAGCGCCACTACACTCAGCACCACCACACTTAGCACTACCACGCTCAGCGTCTCGCCCGCTCAGCACCACCACACTCAGCACCACCACACTCAGCACCACCACACTCAGCACCACCGCGCTCAGCGCCACTACACTCAGCACCACCACACTCAGCACCACCACACTCAGCACCACCACACTCAGCACCACTACACTCAGCACCACCACACTCAGCACCACCACACTCAGCACCACCGCGCTCAGCACCACCGCGCTCAGCGCCACCACACTCAGCGCCACCACACTCAGCGCCACCACACTCAGCACCACCACACTCAGCACCACTACACTCAGCACCACCACACTCAGCACCACCGCACTCAGCACCACCGCGCTCAGCGCCACCACACTCAGCGCCACCACACTCAGCACCACCACACTCAGCACCACCACGCTCAGCGTCTCGCCCGCTCAGCACCACCGCCCTCAGCTCGTCACAATAAACGATCGCAGCATTCGCCGTGGACCTGGTCTCTGCTTGCAATAAATTTCCTTTTAAAGAGCGCCGCTGCATTTTCTCGTTTGGAAGATGGCTTACTTCCAATAGCACCGAAAGCCCCTCGAACCGAAGTGATTACTTCAAAGTCACTTTGAAGTAAACACTCTAACTAATTGGACTATTTTCCCGTGGTATGCAGTTGCCATCAGCACGAGTTAATTGGTCACCGATTCAAGTACTGGCACGCAGGCTCACCAGTTAGAAAGTAAGTAGCGAATTATTCAGACCACGGACGTAGCCTTTGAGTCAAAGCTGTCCTCAACGTTTGGCTTCAAATGCTGAGATATATCCCCGATCTTCTTGTGCCTTGCCTGTGCAACCAGGGTCGGCTCCACCCGTCCATGCAGGCGAACTAAGGCGGTCGCCTCGGGCGCCAAGTTAAGTTGAGGGCGCCAAATTCGAGGGAAAAATATACAAATAATAAAGAGACAAATAAAATAACTAAAGTGTCATTATTTCAATTCCCGTGCGCGTACAGAGGGAATATGAATTATTATGAATTTCTTAACGTTTCTGAGAATGCATTGGTTGGACAGACGGACGGGCGGACAAAACGAATAATTATTCCTGTTTAAAAAAAAATGCCTCGAAAAAAAAATTAAACGGAAAATAGGGGGCAAACTGATTCCCAGTCTACCAAAAACCTCGGCCTAGATCTGTTCTTGGGGGTGCGGGGGCGCCGATTGCACGGTCCGCCTGCGGGGAGGGGAGTACGACTCAGATCGTTCCAGCGTGGACAGATGGTTTTGTTTGAGGGCATTTGGTAACTATTCAGGAACGAGCTGTCCCAACACCTCCCGCTGTCGTTCGGCCTCCTATGCTGGCGCATAGTGGCGGCAGTGGTAGCACACGTGCCTTGCAGCAGCAGCAACAGAACATGCGTCTGGGTTCGATTCCCGACTCTGTGTGGAGTTTGTGTATTCTCTCTCTCTCCTCCTGTTCTAAACGGGGTTTTGTCCAGGATCGCCGGTTTCCTCTCCCAAGCTAAAGAGACAAACTAACAATGTCATTGGTACTGGCCAAACATCCCAATGCTGAGACCATTACCTGCAAATGACACGACTGGAGTTATACACAGCAGCCGCAGCAGCAGCATCAGCATCGCCCCCCGACTGCAAAAAAACACACACTTGGCAGGACCCTCCTGAAAAAGGGTCTTGAGACTCGGCGAAGCTTTCCCGGGCAAACGAGCATCATCACAAATAACAATAAAATATGATTGATGTTCACGTGGTTTTTTTCGCTGTCGTTTGTGAACTGGGCAGTTGAATGGGAACTACAGCGAATGTCCCAAGCGAGGAGTCGGATTCACGCATGCAGCATTAAGACAGCGACTGAGCAAGTGGTGGTAGCACCGGTCAAAGGCAGTGAAGGCATCTTCAATGAAGCATTTACCTAGCACGCTACCTTACAGAATACACGACTGTAATGTGATGTAGCTGCTGGTTGTATAAGCGTATGTATATTCAACCAGCGCTTAACTTCAGCCGGAATAGTCTAAAACGCTGTTCGGGAAATAATTATCAGCGCCCCATAATCCATCTCAGATTTTTGTCTTCACGATAAAATAAATATGGATGGGCGTACCTTGCACTCTAGTGGTAGTGCCTTACACCGACGGTCCCTTCTGCGCGGCGGCCTGGCGGAGTGATGGAAATGATCGGGTGAGAACTGAAGTCCTGAGCACGCGCAACGGTGGCGTGGCGAGCGGGAGACTCCCTTGTTGCGGTGCGACGCTTTGCCTGGGGAGGGGGTTGAGAGGCCGAGCTCTTGGGAGGACGCCCCAAGAATGTGGGCAGTGTGTGTGTGGGGGGCGGCGGGAGACATTGCGTGGGGCGCGCGTGACACCCCACGCGCTCCGCGAGTGGCGCCCGAGTGTGAAGAGGTGCACGCGACGGAGTGTCACAAAGCCACCGCTAACACGGCGATGATAAATAATAATGACGAATACCATTATTGTTGAATTACGACCGTAAGTTATGGATAGACCGACCCGCGGCCGTGCGAACCGTGGAATTTCTCGCACTGGCTCAGGGCTGCGAGTGGAGCACAGCGCTGCAAGATGCTCGATCCCAACTGGAAGACAGTGGCGCCGGCAAACGACGGCTTCCTGTTGGAATGCGTCAGTGGCGTAACGCATGAGCCTGTGAATTGAGAAATTAGCTGTAAATTTAATTATCGTTCGTAGTTATAACTTAATTAATGTATTGCCATCGAACACAGACGGTTTCCGCATCGCGCGCTTGCGGCCGTCTGGAACGCTTTCGATCTTCGGAAGCCACTTGAACTATGCACTTTTTTTTACTTTAGACTGAAAACTCATTTATTTAGAACCGCTTTTTTGTTTAGTTGTCTTTCCCCGCACCTCCGATTAGCACGGTTCGCTACGTACGGTGCGAAAGAAGTTCAACATGCGTACATTATACAGCCTTTTAATCCACTCCAGGATAAAGGCTTCCCCATTCCGTGTCAGTTATAAGGGTTGTTTGACCATACTTCACTACGATGGCTCGTGTGGGTTGCTGAAGGGGGTGGGCCAGGATTACGACAGATAGTACTTGGCACTGATGTTAGCTGTGGCCAGAAAATGAATTGAGCGTCTTCGGTTTATGGCGAGGCACGCTAACCAGTACTGCACACCGGAGCTCAATCCGCTTCGAAAGTATATGGGATTTGGACAACTAATTTATGGCACAGAAAATGTACGACATACAAAGTTTAAACGGCAACATTTATTCAATGTTTGAACGTCAACTTAGGTTTCCAGAAGAAATGAAGTCATCACCGCCCCATAAGTGTCCACCGATCGCCAAACGGTGACGACCCAAGGAAACACTCTTTCCATCTCCCCCCATCGGCGAGCCTCAACAGTCTCCCTCTCAACTCGTGACACAATCAGTGCAATGCGAGAGAAACGGAAGCACCCCCCCCCCCCCCCCAGAGACTCCGTGAACACCATGGACGGAATGAGGCACTTTTCAAGAGTCGAAATATCTTCTCGAGATAAATGCGAATCTGCAGTCTCCAGCGGGACTTGCAGTGCCCGATACCCTGGCCGAAGTAATGCAGGATGGCTTTTACGGGCAGCAGGCACGTTGGGAACACAGAAGAGGCTGCTTCGGTTAAAAATGCACAGAGCGCAGGCGGCACATTGAGTGCGGGCATCTCTCGCGGTGTTTAAAAAAAGAAAAGTGCCACTGCCCCCCCTCCCAAACGTAAATCGTTGCCACAACTCCACGGGGGGGGGGGGGGGCAGAACAAGCTTGCATGTGGCAATGGACGGTACATTTGTGTGGATGCACTTAAAACGCAGAGGTCAGCCAGACTTCTTCGTTGAAGTCGCACATTTCAGAAAAATATAAAAATCAACGTCTTCTGAAAAGTGTTCCTTGCATTCGCTTCAGGCCAGTACAACGCATCGCACGATGTACGACGAAGCCCATAGGAGACCGGGAAGGTATCGGGAGGAGGTTTGCGAGTGAAATGCATTGTGGCCGTATGGAATGTTGGACAGTGCTGCTGTCGACATTGAGCAGCCTTCATCCAACAGTGGATTTGGAATGGCTGAAAATGGTATACGTATGACAACATATGCATTTAATGTTAAGAGACTTTAAGCATATATTGCTGAAATGAAATAAAAAATAGCTTCTGTTGCAAACACCACAATTTTTAAAAATCCACACCAACACCCCAGCCATTTAAAAGGTTTGGAAACGCAAAAGACAAAACACACGTTTAAATCTGCCTCAAACTCTGCCGTAGCGTCCGAGTTGACAGCATTAATCGTGCTTGCAAAGTCAGTGGTTGTGAAAACATCAATCTCAGCCTAAGATTACACACATCCTGGCATGATCAATGACAGTGTGCGAACACGACAACACAGGTCTGACCAACTCGGTCCATCCACAAACGAGACACTGCACACCCAATGAAAATTGGCATCTGACAATGGCGTGGCCCATGTCCCCACAGTGAAGGGTTGCATTAGTTTGAGTAATATTAACGTGCAAAATGAAGCACAATCATAAAAAAAGAGAGAAAATGTCATAACATTTCTTTGGCAATATTTTAAACAATGTTATACTTTTGTCGAGCTGTCCGTGGAATTTTTCAAAATTAAAAACGTGGATGCCTTGGTCGCACTGGGGCAGGAGAAAGCAAGACGCAGTGTCGACATTTCCTGCGCCCGTCACGGGACGTATAAACGAGCATTCTATTTACTATGTAGCTTCCTGCGTGGCGTGTACTGGCAGGGGTCTGTGTACATCGTGCGGTAACCCGTCGAGTCTCAGCGTACACTTGCAGCCGCGATCACTTCACTCCTAAACCGTGAGGATAACCCCACACCAACAGCTGACAGCCCACAGGTGACAATCGACACTACATTAGCCCTAAAGTACATCTTACGCTATTGTTGCTTATTTTGAAATGCGGCATGGCTCATCCTTGAGGCCACAGTGGCTACAAGCATCCACCGTTCGGCAACGTATAACAGTGAAACTCCCACGTGGTAATCATATCCAGAGGGCAGTGGTTTAGAGAGATGCACGGAAAATCGTGTAACAAAAAGTGAACCCAGGAATGAGCGACCTCGGCTCATGCCATGGTCAATCTTAACTACTTCCTGCGCGTTGCACCGTTCATAAATGCCAACTGCCTGCTAGCCACGAGAGAGGGCTTCAAGGCGAAGTCTTAGCTCATCATGCTAAAAGGTGCTGTGTGGGTGTTTGGCACGTGGTGCTGTGCAGGTGTTTGGCACGTGGTGCTGTGTGGGTGTTTGACACGTGGTACTGTGCGGGTGTTTGGCGCGCCGGCGTTTGGCGCGTGATTGGCGTGCAGGCGTGTGAGTGTGGTTGTCCCGTTGTTTCGGGTGAGGGCCTTTAGAAGGTGAGGCCGGCCTCGTTGTAGACGCGGAACACTTTCTCGATGGCGTTGACGTACGCCGCCGTGCGCAGGTCCAGCCCCAGGTTGTACTTCATCGCCGTGCGCATGATTTGCTATTGCAACGCACACGTTCACACACACGCGCACACATACACGCACGTGCACACGCACGTGCACACGCACGTGCACACGCACGTGCACACACACGTGCACACACACGTGCACACACACGTGCACACACACGTGCACACACACGTGCAGGAAAACGTGGCACAGTTAGCTCGGAGAGAAAAAAATCTGTTTGCTTGTTTTTTTTACCCGCGAATAAACGATTAAACTATTGTTTTAGTTTAACAGGTAAGGCCCACTGAGCTGTATAGCTCTTTTTCAGAAGCAACCTATCCACAAATGCTATGAAGTGGCTTTTCACGTGGAACCTTAGAGCAGCCAAATACTCTAAACGCATGTTGATAACATGCTCACAAGCAGGCACACTGACCACGGGGAGAGAGACATGCAAACTCTAAATATAAAGGCACCAGGGTTGGGATTGAATCCTCCTGGAAGCGACCGTGGCTCCCATAGTTTCTACATGGTCAGAACTGCTTGCCTTAACATACTACAATTCATAGGCACGTAATAAGTCACCAGCCCCAGCGTCTTTGTGAAATATCACAATGTGAGTTGCATTTGTACAGATCAGCCTACGTGTTAAACTAGCGTTCAACAGGTTTAAGATTATCATAAATTGCAAAATAATATATTCTCATACCCACAACTCAATGTGCTATTATGAACGCAGGAATCGACTGCAATAAGTGGATCAATGGGATTGTCGCATACATCATAATTTCACACACATGTCACATATATGCAGCCAGCGAAGAATGTTTCCAACGCTCGACAATTACGTTCATGATGATGATGATGTAATGAGAGCGTCTGAAGGATACGCGACTCAAACTGCACGTAATGCGGCTGACTGATGGGGAGTTCTCTGCTTGATCACCACCACAGGGGAGTCATGATGTAGGGCACATATTCCAATTGCCTACCACACATCCCCCCCACCCACCCAAAAATATATTTAGATGGCATTGAATGTAGTGGAGGATTTTTTGGATGTCATGAATGTCAAATTGTCAGGATATAATGCAACATTTTCATGTATTTTTCATTTTATACACATGTAATCGTGCAAAACGAAAACATAATTTATATGCAAATACTTTTGCTTCGTCAAACTTTGTACTCTGGTGGAAACAAGAATCACCCTGCGATTTGTATTCTATTTTGCGTGTGTGTCACTGATCATCGATCCCCAGAACCGCCACCTCCCACCACCGCCCCCCCCCTCGTACCGCCCCCTCCGCTTGTGCTGACTCACCCTTGCGGAGCGCTCCATCGTGTAGGCCAGCCCCGAGTGGACAATGTCCTTCTCTGATGCACCCTGGGAAGCACGGGGAACAGGGGGCCACGGTGGAGGAAACACGGCTGAGCAGCAGCGGACACCGCAGCAAAAACATCCTCGTGACCACCCACCGGCTTCGTAGGATCGACGTGAACCCCGGTTTAACTCGATTGTAATAGCGGAGCAGTGCGCGTGCCCACGTAAGTACATATTCACACGATGACGAATGGCTTTAAACGCGCAAAAAGAAATATGGCTACAAAGCGATGGTTTTAACCGAGCGGACACTGACAATTTTGCATGCCTTATCGATCTCTTGCGACACATGTTGCTGACAGAAACGTTTCACAGATTTCTCAGCAGAAGAAGAGAAATGAGTCGGTGACAACATGTTTTAACAATCGATGATGCAACAAGCTTCGACTGACAAATAAGTCTTAAACCACTATTGTGGATTTGTATATGTGTACATGCGCAGACATTTTTTGTCAATAGGCCACTAGACAAGAGCCGGCCGTGGTAGTTATTTGACCGTATTTCACCACGCTGGTCAGTGTAGGCTGACGAAGGTGGGAGGAGAGGGGGGGGCATAGGTGTAGCAGCATAGCACAGTATAATAATACATTTTGTGTACTGCCCTCTGCTGACAAGTGCCACGGCAGCCTACAAGACCAATTTTACACATGGGTATTATAATAATTATTGTGTTAGGGCCTTGACACAAGAGGGCCATGACTGTTGCATACGAATGCCGTGAGGTTCGTTGTGCCAGGAGGCTTCAGCAGAACCACCGTCGTCGCCGTGAGTTTGTTGTCTTTCCCCCGCACCTCTGATGAGCACGGTTGACCACGTACGGTTCAACACACATACAACGGACGTGGCTCTTCACCGGCACCTACGGGGCCTTTGTGTGACCGAGCAGAGCGGCAGGGCGGGGGTTTGGTAAAGGGGGGGGGCGGCTTCCCTCCGCTGAGACACTCACGGCGATCCGCGCCTGGAAGTCTTCGGTGGGCACGATGGGGATGCTTCCTTGGGTCTTCCCGAACTTTCGTTCGATGCTTTCTTGTACCGAGTCTGCGAGGTACCAGTGAAAACACAGACACACACACGTTTTCATAAACAAAGAGAAAAATCTCCCATGTAGCCTTAACAGACTGAAAGGGCAAGTGCAGTTAGCGAGCACCTATGAAGGCCGGCACGGCACACGAAGGGGTGGGTGGCCTGCACCAACCCTGGCCGCCTTAGTCTCCCCACTGATGTTTTCACACCCCACCAGGTACTCATTTGAGGCTGAGTCGACCTAGGGGAGGCCCAGACCATTTCAGATATTTGTCACTGGTGTTGGCCGTGAGTGGGAATTGAACTTGGGTTGCCGGGTTCATGCACAACGCGCTAACCGTTACACTACCGCTCCCCACCGGTGAACACACAAACCTGTACATTAACATGGACACTTACACATACATACACACGCATGCACGTTCACAATGGTGCAAAATTAAAGCTTCCCCATGGAGGTCGCTTGAGCCCACTGCCCCAACACTGATCAGTGAGGGTTGGCCATGGGTGAGGGGTCCAGGAAAGGTTCAGATACCACTCGCTACTGTTGGTTGTCATGGCGATTCAAACTCCAACCACTGGGTTCACAGTGCAGTGCACTCACCCACTCCACCACCACTAACCAAGCATGCATTACCACTCGTGCACACACACACACACACGAGCGTGTTCGTGTGCGCGTGCAAACTCATATAGGCGCAAACATGCACGACCCAGCAGCAGCTAAACTAAAAACATGACATACACGATAAACAAATGGTGTGGTTCTGACTATGTAAAGTTATAGGTCAGTGTCGCATAATTAACACTAATTTGATTATTGTTGTTATGAACAATATTTAGTATACTGATGATACTATGTAGTTTATACTTTAGTTGTTTACGTGGTGGTTTTAGTTACTGCAGCTTCATACTATTAACACTTCTTCCCTTTATTAATGCTACCCCTATCCCCTCCCTTTGATGCTGCTAATCCTGCATAATGCACGGGCATAAGTAGTACTAATCACATACCTACATTTCCCATATCCCCTCCCTTTGATGCTGCTAATCCTGCATAATGTACGGGCATAATTACTGATCACATACCTGCATTTCCCATAAATATGCTAAATTCCTCTTGATATGCAAATTCTTTTGTCAAGGCGCCCTTCCCCCCCCCCCCTTCCAACCCAGCTTATATATATGCTCCAAGCACGTGTGCTGTTTCATTCAGACGCTGTCGCCTCGACAGACCTGGTTTTCACCTGAGGACGGCTGCTTGGGTTGTGGCCGAAACGTCGTGAGAATTATTTTATTATGTTTTATTTTTATTATTTTATTACTTCCCTTCTACGTGACTTTACCGAAAGAACCAAGAAGATGAATCCCTGCAGTCACGAAAGCTTTAAATCGAAAAATAATAACAGTTATTTAATGATATATAAAGTCACAAAATGGACGGCCATGATGCATGATGGCCCAGTTTAAAATCATAACAAAATAATTCAAGTTGGTTTTGTGTGGAGGTCGGTTCTATTTCTAGGCACGGAGGTTTTGTGTACCCAGGACAGCCTCACCGAGTCCCAAGACTCTTTTTCAGGAGGCTCCTGCCATCCTGCCATCCTAATTGAGCCAATTCAAAGGCACATTTACAGCATTGGGATGATTGGGCAACATCAGTGTATTTTGGAATTTTCTTTGTAGGTACGGGGAAAAAACCGAGAATCCAGAGGAAACTGATAGATGAGAGGAGAAGTGATGCCTTGTGGGTCACTCACTCAGCAGGTGGTAGTTGGACTCGCGCTCGTATTTGAAGGTCAGGCGCCCGTAGCTCACGTGGTTGAGGTTCTTGAGCCACTCGAAGAAGGAGACCGTCACACCGCCCGCGTTCAGGTACAGGTCCTACAAGGTGGCACAGAGAGACCGCCGGCTCCGCCTCACAGAGTTCACACACAGCGCGAACACCGAAGCGCCAATACGTACTTCACTAGAGAGATTGCTGAAGTAACAAAAAAACAAAACACCACAGATGGCAAGACGGTTCTCACCCCCACTCCCCCCCGACCCTTTTCCCCGTTAATTTTGCTCCGTTTTCCTCGCCTTCCCTTCCCCGTATAAAAAGTCCGCACTCCCGCTCGCAGCCCCGACGCTCGTAGTAAAGCAGTGAGCCCATTCCACTCGCTTCTGCCCGTGGAATTTCCGTGCCCCCCTCCCTATTTTGGCTCGTGCTCTGTACCGGGCTCTTGTTAGAATAACAGAAAAAAACCGCAGATATATCACAGACTACATGTTTCCTAAGACAGGTTTCCCTTTGCTTTACGCAGTGGTAGTAGATGTTTTCCAAAAAAAGTGGCGTAACAAAGCGAAACAGCACGAGGAGACAACTGCCTGCCGAGTAGCGTGTACGGCGGTAGACATGACGTTGACCCACGTGCGACCGCGCAGCCGCACGTAGAGTTAATTGAGGGCGACAACTCGAACCCGCGTAAAGCGAGGGAAACCTGTAGGAATAAGAATACATTTTGAAATAAGAAAAAAATGTATGTCTGCGTTGGTAAAAAAATTAAACTAGCCATGTTTGTCATTACGACTGTCTAACAATGGAAAAATTTATAAGCTGACAGTACTTAATTGGGTCAGTAACCACATAGCAACATTGCCCCCGACTAGCAGAGCGTACCTGTATGTGAAACGCAGCACCCTTGTGATGGACTTGCGCTAAGAGAATCGTGCGAATAAGAAACGTGCTCATGGTCTGATTGGTTTCTCTCTAGAGAAGGGCCATGGCCCGAAACGTTAGCCTGTTAAATATGAATTTGTAAGACAGTGCCAAGGATGAATGAAGTAAAAATTCTTTATATTAGTATGCATTTTGTTGAAAGACATTGGCAATAATCAGATTGTTATTCAGCTTGTTTACCCAAAAAAGCCTCACTGAGTCTCCGAGGCACTATTTCAGGGAACGCCTGCCAGGTGTTCCCAGCAGGGTGAGATATTGCTGCTGCTCTGTGTGTAATCCTGTCACGGACTAATTTGCAGGTATTTTTGTTTCGCATTAGAATGTTTGGCCAATTACCACGGTGGCAAGATGTTAACTACCCCGCCTGGTATACAGGAGGATGTAGGTTCGATTTCGACCCTGACGCCTGCTGTATATTTAGAGTTTTCATGTTTCTCTTCCCCGTGGTCGCGTGGATTTTTCTCCGGGCCCTCCGGTTTTACCTTCCACATTTAGAAGCACGCGTTTCGAGTATTTGGCTGCTATAAATGTCCTCGTGATGGCAAGCAAACTTCGTTGAGCTATCATTTGTGGTCAGGTTGCTTCTGAAAAGAGCTACAAAGCTCAGTGGGCCTCACCTGGTGAAATACAAAAAAAATTTAGTTTATTGTTTGCTGTTTTTTGCCAAAGGAGGAAACCGGAGAACCCAGAGAAAACCCATACACAGGACAGGGAGAGAGAGAAGGTACAAACTCCACGCAGAAAGACGCCCCCCGAGTGAGAAATCAAACCCACGCCACCCTTCTTGCCGTCAGGCTCAGGTGTTAACCACTATGGCAGCGGCGGTGCCAACACCCAGCCCACTCGGTGAAGCCGCTGCACTACGGCGGGATTTGCCGTAAAATGGGAAGCGTCCCACGCACCGGGATGACCATGACGTTGTTCTTCAGGAAGATCTTATCCGCGTCGGGGGTAGTGGGTCCGTTGGCTCCCTCCGCGATGATCTGCACGCAAAAGCACATCGCACGGCAGGTCACACCGCGTTGCTTTCACCGTTCCTAGGCAACGCAATTTCAAACTGTAGCACAGACAATGCAAGCACATCTCCAGTAGATACTGCACGACGATAATGGAACGTGTGCGTTACGTGGAAAAATGAAAAATGGGGGGGTTGTGGTGGGTGAGGAAGTGAGGGGGTAGGGGTAAGGGAAGTGACAGTATGTTGCGATTAAAGACGTTGTATGGAGTCGTAGGCAGAGGAGGAAAGGAGGTTGTTTGAGAATGGGATCTTAGCCGGAAGGCAGTTGGCTGAGCGGATGGGTTGGGGGAGAGAGTTGCAAACTACGGAGGCAGCTGCAGAGAAGCAGTGACCTCCCATTGAGTGGAGTTTGACCGAGGGCATTCTCTCCTCATGTTATCCCAATCGTTCTATCGGCGTTGCGTCACGGGAAAGAGAATGCATTCGGATCTCTCGCACAGCAGCACGACTGTCTGTGCTAGATAACTGCCCACAGAGCTACCTCCTAGATCCCTTCCAGATATCTCTGGTCAGCACAGTAAGTGGCTGCACTTTGCCATCTGCCCTGCCACAGAGATTAATGTTAGCAGCATGACAGTCAAACCGATATATTTTTCACTGAGATTTAACCAAATAAAGTGGGCACATGTCTTTCAGGCGATAGTTTTTTCACTGCAGTCAACGGTGACCGGACTAAACCCATCAATTCGCTATGCTTGAGAGCCCAGTTTAACCACAGGCTCGAACCCAGTATCTCGGCGGTGCAAGCTCAGCGCTCTGACGTCTGAGCCCCACGGCCGCCTGGGCTGCAGGCTTTAACAGAGGCCCTTGGTCGCTGGAGCGGCAAGCAAAAGAGAGGGGAAGGGGTTATCAAAAACGAGGTCACTTGACCGCACTGCCCCAACGCTGGTGAGTGCAGGTTGGCCATGGGTGAGGGATCCAGGAAGGGTTTAGATGCCACCCGCCGCCGATATTGGCCTTCGTAGCGATTCGAACTCCAACCACTGGGTTCACAGTGAAGTGCACTCACCCACTCGACCACTACCCAAGCACGGAAAACCACTCGTGCACAAACCCACACACGCGTGCGTGCAAATTCATATAGGTGCAAACTTGCAAATATAACGTGCACGACCCTGCAGCATGCAAAATAAAAACCTAACATACATGACAAATACACAATGCGGTTCTGACTATACAAAGCCATAGATCAGTATCAAATAATTAACACTAATTGACTGCTGTTATTAACGTGAATAAGGCATGCGGGCGCCTGGACTGCGGGCTTTAACGGAGGCCTTGGCAGCTGGGGCGGCGAGCAAAAAGAGGAGGGAAGAGGTCACCGAAAATGAGGCCGCATGTGCGTGCGTGCATGTGTCCGTGCGTGCGTCCGCGCGTGGTTCCCCACCTTGGCCTTGATGCGGTGGGCGTTGAGCCTGGTGAGCTGCTTCTCTCCGGCGGCCGGGATGAGGATGTCGCACTGCGCCTCCAGGATGTTTCCGTCGTACGGCTTTGCCCCAGGGAAGCCCAGCACCGTGCCGTGTTGCTGTTGGGCGCCAATGGCAAGAGGCGGATCGTCAACGACGTGCCAGAGACGTGGTCGCGGGCGAAGAGCGGTGTCATTGCGCACGGGAGGCGATTGTCACATGCACTCCGCTGATCTCTCATGGCTCAAATTCGTAAAGAACGTTAAAAAATATTTAAAAAAAATATTTTAAAAAAATATTACCAGGTAAGGCCCACTGAGCTATAGAGCTGTTTTTCAGAAGTGACTTGGCCATAAATGATAGCTCAACGAAGTGGCTTATCATGGTGTGGAAATTTATAGCAGACAAATACTCTAAACGCATGTTTCTAAATGTGGAGGGAGAAACCGGAGGACCCGGATAAAAATCCACGCGAACAGAGGGAGAACATCCAAACATCTGTGCCATCCACGCTCCTATCTCAGCATTTTTTTTTCAACGTGGCGCGTTACAAATCTTGGACTGTTTGGTCTGACGAGGTCGGGCGCATTCCGGGCGATTTGGTGAAGACCACAATTGTTACTCACAGATGGCTGAATGGCAGGACAGAGCATACGAATGTGGTAATACTAATTAAGGGTTGCTCTCCTGGGCATGTTGGCAGCTTATGACAGCTGTCAGTTCGCCCTTTCCCATTCCGATGACGTATGTGTACATCATCAAAGCGAAATCAGAAGAAAAAAATTACTTTATCGGTACCGAGGTTCTCACAAGGCGACACGGGAGGGCGTGTGGCAGTTTGGCGCCAACTATCATAGATTGCAATCATCTCGCTACACTTCTCTGCGGCGAGTACAATGTTTTTAAAAACAACGTCGCGCAACGCCTCTCTAAATAAAAATGAACGCTGAGCCGCGTGCGCGTTCCAAGATTCAGCGGTGAACGGAACCCCACCCTGCAACTTGCGGACGTCTCTGAACAGGAAAGAGTGAAACTAAAAAAGTGAACAGGCGTGGCAGTAAGCCAGGGTGCGGTGAGCACGGATGTGCATCTCACGAGCTTGTACTCCTCCAGATCTTTGGGGTCGATGCCGCTGGGGTTGTACAAGTTCCCGTCGAGCTCCCCGATGCCCACGCACTTCGCTCCAGCCCGGTGCAGGTACCGCATGGAGTGCAGACCGACGTTGCCAAAGCCCTGTTCATGGTAAAAGAAATGGAGAAACGACGCCACGCGTTCAAAAAGTCTGACCCGCTTCTCTCAGTGCAACTGTGTAGGCCTGCAAGCGATGAATGAATGGTTACAATTCTGTCATTATTCTCTGTAATGTCTGTAACGTATGTCTCAGTCATTCTGTCGTCTCTAATTTGTTTCTTTCGTCCAGTCTTGATTTTAGTTTCTCCCAAAGAGGGAAACTAATAAGTTGAGGCCTACAGGTTTATATATATACGGTAACTATAGATCCTTATCTGCTCTGCAACCCCAAGCCCCGAAGACCACAATTATGATATAAAATGTAAGCCCAGACTTCCCCCTAAAACCATGACATAAGCTTCTCCATCCTGTCAGTCATGGGAGATGTTTGATACTACCGCACAGCGCTAGTCAAGACGCATTGGTAAAAAGGAGGGAAAGCCAGGAATGGTTCAGGTATCACTTGCCACTAACGATAGCGTTGCTGGGAACCAAACTCAGATCCGTTGTTGCAAGTTGCCCAAGCCACAGAAAACCGTGTTAATAATTCCCAAGATGACATAAATTCCAATGGCATTTAGACCGAATTAACCGAACTATAGAAACTTATCGAATATTCGAGGAGCAGGAGAAACATCTTTAGCCGTCTTGCCTTGCTGCCTTGTTACTGTCCGTACATTATGTATTATCTCGTATAATCGTTCTCATTCGTCAATCTCATTCACTGCAACCATTAGCAAAAAATAAAATTTCCCTATATCACTCACACACACCCACGATTCGACGCACGTACTTTCACAAGCGCAAGCATCGATTCGGATCGACTAGTCGTCGTCGCGCCCCTGCATGCGTGCGCCCGCCCGTACCTGCACAATGAAGGTCTTGTCCTTGAGCCCCGGGGCCAGGCCCACGGTGCCCATGAGCGACGCCTCGTTCATGAAGTTCTCGATGCCGTGGAAGACACCGCGGCCCGTGGCCGACACGCGCCCATGGATGCCCCCCTGGGTGATGGGCTTGCCCGTCACGCACGCGTGCGCGTTGATGTCCTGTGGGAGGCAGCGATTCGCGTCACTCAGATTTGTTATTTTTTCCCTGCTCAAGCAGGGAGACGTTTCTTACGTCGGTTTGATTTAAAAACATAATAATGTAAAAATAAGACGAATGAACGTTTGAAGGTGAAGCACCAATGAGGACAGAGCCTTTGATTGGTGTACGGTTATATCTGCTTAGTTTCATACGGTCCATGGCCACATGAAGATGCCTTCCACTCTCTCATCTCATACTAGAGGGCAATATTCAGAACCTGACAGCAGTGTTTCTCATGTTCACGCTCAGTCACTTCTATCATTTCAAGAGCCTCTTCATACCCGTGAGACACGCACGTTATTTTTCGCATGATATTTATCATTGGATAATGTTGAGGTGTGCCAGCGTGTTAATGTGTACTTGGACTTTGAAAGTGGGGCGCTGGTAGTGCAGTGGTAAGCACTCGGCGCTACAAACCCGGCGTCCCGAGTTCGATTCCCGCGAATGACCAATAACAGTAGCGAATATATGAACCGGTCCTGGGCCTTCCCTAGGTCGACTCAGCCTTCATTGACCACCTGATGCGATGTGTAAACATCGCCACTGGGGAGACAAAGACAGCCGTGCATGGTCCTGGTCACCCACCCCCTCGTGTACCGTGCCGGACTTCACAGGTGCTACTCGCTAACAGCACTTGCCCCAACAGTCTGTTATAAAGGCTACACGGGGGATGGATCTTTGTTTTTTTGTGTTTGCATCCCGGGGACCACGCCAGACGTGAGGAGCGCTACCCAAACAAAACCTTGATCCCTGCCCGCAACCTTCGGCAGCCCCTTCATGTGCAGTGCCGCCCTTCATAGGTGCTCACTAACAGCACTTGCCCCAACAGTCTGTTCAGGCTATACGGGGCATATTTGTCTTTCCACTTTGAAAGTGCACCGAGTCTGGCACAAGCGACATGGTGACGTCATCACTAGTTTGTGGCGAATGGCGGCTGTTGTTGTTGTAAATGTGTGGCCTGCCAAAAGCATCTGCAAGTCCTATCTGGCCCTCGGTATGGATCCAGTTCATTACCCCTCCTGTGGTCTCTAACCAATAACTATTTAATAATTTGTATTTTACCAGGTAAGGCCCACTGAGTTATGTGCCTCTTTTTTTAGAAACGACCTGGACTCAAACGATTGCTCAAGAAAGTGGCTTATCACGTGGAAATGTATGGCAGCCAAACACTCTAGATGCATGTTTATAAATGTGGAGGGAAAAACCGGAGGACCTGGAGAAAAATCCACGCGACCACGGGGAGAGAGACATGCAGACTCCAAACATGGCGTCTGGGTCGGGATCGAACCCACGACATCGTGTATACCAGGCGAGGCAGTTAACATCTCGCCACCGTGGCTCTGCTGGAGGTGGTGGGGGTGGTGGGGGGCAGGCGTGTGCAGGGCCTTACGGTGTGGCCCATGGTGTTGGCATAGGTGTCGGCGATCCACGACATCTCGCGCTCGCCCGTGCTCATGTCTGGTGCTGGCACATCGATGCCCGGTCCTGGCGCGTCACAAGGGCAACAGAGGTGAGAAGATAGCCCCAGGTGACACAGGTGAGATGATACCCCCAGGTGACACGGGTGTGACTGTACACTACTTATACATTGTTACATTCTCAAACATGTGACTTGGCATCTAACATATCCCTATATATTGCCAACGCAATATATACTGTGCTGTCATGAAAGCCCATCGTATTGTCAAGTTTGATGAATCAAAACAAACATCAGAGCAATTCACTTTCCGCACCCCCATCCCCCAACTCAACACAAACTCTGGCTCTTACCGATAAAGCCCTTCTTGGCCAGCTCGATCGTGAAGCGACGCGTGATCTTTTCCAATTCCACGTCCTGTGAAAGCAACGGCAGAGAACGGGGGACGCAGGGGGACCCGTGCCACAGTGTTGACATTTTCATTGAAAAATAAAAAATCGCCAACATGTGAATATCAATTTCAGAATGTCAAATTTGATGCTCTTAAAAGCAACGCGCCTGACCAAATCTACTTTCTACTTTTTATTTTACCAGGTAAGGCCCACTGAGCTATATAGCTCTGTTTGAGAAGTGACCTGGCTATCACAAATTATATCTCAACAAAGTGGCTCATCACGTGGCATTTATAGTGGCCAAATACTCTAAACTAATGTTGTTTCTAAATGTGGAGGTAAGAACCGTAGGACCCGGAGAAAAATCCGCGCGACCACGGGGAAAACGTGCCAACTCCAAATATACAGGTGTCAGGGATCGAACCTACAACCTGCTGCATACCAGGCGAGGTAGTTAACATCTCGCCACCACTTGGTATATGCACCCGATCTCACCAGAACTCAGAAGCTAAGCAGGTCTTAAGATAATAATAATAATAGTACATATTTGTAACGCGCGCAAATTTGCAGACGTAGTGGCCGCAACTCAATGTGGTGAAAATGCTAACATGCTCTAATAATATATGCATTGTCTTTAAGACTGATTTTCATGTTCACCACAAGTACGTGTGGTCAATGCAGACTTGATTCCTTGCAGAAAGTTTCTAATTGGTCTTTGTACATCTTAACACCTGTATTATTGTCAGAAAGGGTAAAATCCATTCTTATTTTTTTTCATACTCAAATACTCCCAACGCGTGTTTCTCGTTCACAAGCCCACGCTGACTAGTGTGGTGAAGTTTGGCAAAATAATCACCATGGCAGGGCATGCTGTGGTGGGGGAGCCTCTTATCCAGCAATGGATTGACATGGAAAAGGACTCGGTCAGAGAAGGGGAGGGGGGTCTCACACTGCACCCATTGGACAAGGCAGGGCTACAGCGGAGCTTCTTACGCAACGCTGATTTCCACGCCGTTATCAGCACTTGTTAATGGTCAGCAAAATACCGGATCGTTAACTCGTACAAGGAAAGAAAAAACGGCAGTTCGCATTTTTCTTTTGCAGACGAAATGTGTGCCGCACTGAAAATCAACAGGTCACCACGCAAATTACTTTTTTGCACTTCGGTTTTAACCAATTATGATTATAATGCCACTGTGTTGAAAATGCTGACATGGCCACAACTTTGCAATGTATTAATAGATTAGCCAACAGCACCACCACCACCAGTGCACACCATTAATCTATGAACTCTGGCTAAGGTCAACCCACCCCACTCCCAACTCCCAGGCAGGTTGATCTGCCAACGTTTAACTGATGAACACATGCCATCAAATATTTTCTTTTACAGCCATGTTTTTTCACTCGCTGTATCTCACAAAAACCTAATCCCAATCCATTTGGGGCTGCCGAAGGTTGCGGACAGGGATCAAGGTACCGTGGGAGCAGCGCTTCTCACGTCCGGCGTGGTCCCCAGGATGCAGACACAAAAAAGACAAAGATTCCCCCCCACCCCCCCCCCCCATGTAGCCTTTACAACAGACTGTTGGGGCAAGTGCTGTTCGCGAGTAGCACCTATGAAAGCCGGCACAGTACACGAGGTGGTGGGTGGCCAGCCCCACGCCAGATCGCATTTGTCCCCCCAGTGGCGATATTTTTAAACACAACACCAGGTGCTCATTTTGGGCTGAGTCCACCTAGGGGAGGCCCCCAAAACCGGTTCAGATAATCGTCACTGGTCTTTGCCGTGAGCGGGAATCGAACTCGGGATCCTGGGTTCATAGCGCAGAGTGCTTACCACTGCACTACTGCTCCCCACTGCAAAAACACACGCGGGCGCGCACACCCACAATTTCCCAGCCACGGCTAATAACAAGTGACCAGTGGCACCGGTGCTGGCCATGCCCTTAACCAACCTTCGATGACTAGCGTGGTGGGGATTGGTGGAAGAATCCCCATGTCCCAAAGACATAGGAGGCTTTCACCCATATTGTGCCCTGTGCTGTGCAAAAGATCAATAAATATTTTAATGCTTCGACTCTAACGTGGCTTGTATAATTCATGTAAAATAATTTGCCAGAATTAATAAGTGATGACACATCCCATTAAGTGGAGACAATGATTGTTTTAAGTGTACGAGGACTAAGTCCTGTAAAGATTCCCATTATCACAAAACTTCATGGGCATTCATTCCAAAACACCTGACTTTGCATTTCAATTAACCATGAAAACTGCACCAAACCGGCGTTAGTCGTGATCATCGCACCATTATTATCACGGGTCAAAATCCAGGCTGTTTATGCTTGCAAAACAACCCACTATCTGTCACTGGGTCCCATAGGGTTGCTGATAGCTGTGGAGATGCAGTGTCCTAGGAACTTAAGCAACATCATCAGATTTTAGGTTCAGCATAATTGTCCGTGTGAAAGACTTTGGTACAGGCTCGAACTTTAGATATCACTCGTTTCAAAAGGAATTTGACTCCAGGGCAATATAAGTAGGCTGAAGTGCGTGCCTGCATGCTGTATACACACCGAGTAGTTTCTGGGGTTGATCTTAACTCCAGCTTTTGCACCTCCAAAAGGCACATCTACACACAAACAAGTGACACAGGTACACAATCAGTCAACGTTCAGACGTTTCCGGGAGGTTCTTTAATCAAGGACATTAGTGTGTTCATACTCTCCTGCATGCGTATCACATCACGTGAGCCGTGTATTTTTTTCACTGGTCAACATAAATGCAAGCGGATATATTTGTAATGCTTTCCAACTAAAGTTGAGAGCTATGGTGCAAATACAGGTTGTTAAGATGTTCAAACACCAAATAGACACCAATTGCCAAGGTACATTGAGGGAAAAAAGTATTTGATCCCCTGCTGATTTTGTACATTTGCCCACTAACAAAGAAATGATCAGTCTATAATTTTAATGGTAGGTTTATTTGAACAGTGAGACACAAAATAACAACAAAATCCAGAAAAACGCATGTCAAAAATGGTATAAATTGATTTGCATTTAATGAGGGAAATAAGTATTTGACCCCCTCTCAATCAGTAATATTTCTGGCTCCCATGTGTCTTTTATACAGGTAATGAGCTGAGATTAGGAGCACACTCTTAAAGGGAGTGCTCCTAATCTCAGCTTGTTATCTATATAAAAGGCCTGTTCACAGAAGCAATCAATCAATCAGATTCCAAACTCTCCACCATGGCCAAGACCAAAGAGCTCTCCAAGGATGCCAGGGACAAGATTGTAGACCTACACAAGGCTGGAATGGGCTACAAGACCATCACCAAGCAGCTTGGTGAGAAGGTGACAACAGTTGGTGCGATTATTTGCAAATGGAAGAAACACAAAAGAACTGTCAATCTCCCTCGGCCTGGGGCTCCATGCAAGATCTCACCTCGTGGAGTTGCAATGATCATGAGAACGGTGAGGAATCAGCCCAGAACTACACGGGAGGATCTTGTCAATGATCTCAAGGCAGCTGGGACCATTCACCAAGAATACAGTTGGTAACACGCTACGCCGTGAATGACTGAAATCCTGCAGCGCCCGCAAGGTCCCCCTGCTCAAAAAAGCACATATACATGCCCGTCTGAAGTTTGCCAATGATTCAGAGCACAACTGGGTGAAAGTGTTGTGGTCAGATGAGACGAAAATGGAGCTCTTTGGCATCAACTCAACTCGCCGTGTTTGGAGGAGGAGGAATGCTGCCTATGACCCCAAGAACACCATCCCCACCGTCAAACATAGAGGTGGAAACATTATGCTTTGGGGGTGTTTTTCTACCAAGGGGACAGGACAACTTCACCGCATCATGTACCATCAAATCTTGGGTGAGAACCTCCTTCCCTCAGCCAGGGCATTGAAAATGGGTCGTGGATGGGTATTCCAGCATGACAATGACCCAAAACACACGGCCAAGGCAACAAAGGAGTAGCTCAAGAAGAAGCACATTAAGGTCCTGGAGTGGCCTAGCCAGTCTCCAGACCTTAATCCCATAGAAAATCTGTGGAGGGAGCTGAAGGTTTGAGTTGCCAAACGTCAGCCTCGAAACCTTAATGACTTGGAGAAGATCTGCAAAGAGGAGTGGGACAAAATCCCTCCTGAGATGTGTGCAAACATGGTGGCCAACTACAAGAAACGTCTGACCTCTGTGATTGCCAACAAGGGTTTTGCCACCAAGAAGAACTAAGTCATGTTTTGCAGAGGGGTCAAATACTTATTTCCCTCATTAAAATGCAAATCAATTTATAACATTTTTGACATGTTTTTCTGGATTTTGTTGTTGTTATTCTGTCTCTCACTGTTCAAATAAACCTACCATTAAAATTATAGACTGATCATTTCTTTGTCAGTGGGCAAACGTACAAAATCAGCAGGGGATCAAATACTTTTTTCCCTCACTGTATCATGTCTGCATGAACCAGACTCGTTTGTGTTATTTACCACAAGTGTGGTTAATGCAGACATGACCATTCTATAAGATTGAGAGCATGAAGGTAATCAAATGCGAACAATATGAACTAATGTGTAGAAAATAGATGTGTTGCTATTAGAGTTAGCTGATTGAAAACCAGACAAATTGAACCAAGGGTTGCACAAATATATTTGCCCTGACAGCCACCAATCAGTTTCAGTACTGATAATCAAATACTTCTAAAAACAAACACATGTTGGAAAGAGTTGCATAAGTCATGCATACGCAGGCTCTTCCCTAACGTGTTTCAATTTCTTGTTGTACGCTTGGTGAGAGTTTGCACTTGGTATGCCATTGCAAGTGAACAGCGTGTAATTGCGTGCATTGTCTCTCCATTTCCACCACCCCCTACCCCCCCCCCAGGTGAACGATTAAAACGTACCCACGACAGCACACTTGTAGGTCATGAGTGACGCCAAGGCCTTCACCTCGTCCACGCACACGTCCATGCTGTAGCGGATTCCTAGGAGTCCACACGCACCACATCACAACACCAATCACTATTTGGAACCATAGAGCGTAAGAGAGAAGGTCTGAAGCCTGGACTTGAACAGGCAGTCAGGATGTATGTATGGTGAGCTCCATCTGCACTGTACATAGTCAACCATGCTATCGGAGGTACGGGGAAGGACAGCAAACTAAATACAAAAATTCGTTCTAAAGATATGAGTTTTTAATATAGCAAATTTAAAAGTGTATAGCTCCAGTGGCTTCCTAATATCGGAAGGAAGAGCATTCCAGATGGACTCAGGAGTGCATCTGGAAAGCGCGCCATGTGGTAACCATCTTTGTTCGATGACTAGCCAAAAGCCGCTGCGAGGATGACCGCAGTTCACGTGATGGTTTATGCTCCTTGACGAGATCAGCAAAAAGCATGGCGAATGTGTGACCTCCCACCCAACAGAGGTTAACCAGGGCTTCGACAGAAGACCTTGGTTTGCCGAGGTGGTGATGAGAGGGACAGAGGAAGGTGGGGGCAAGTCCATTAGTCCACGAGCGGGGCATAAATCAGTTTTACCTAAGGTAACACAACTTTAGTCGTACTCAATTATTCACACGGCCAATAAGAGTAGTTTACTTGATAACCCACTAATTTCAAATGGTTATCATGTAATTCACTGTTTCTGGCCACATTATGATATTGAAAATGCCAAAGTTATGCAACCTCAGATGGTATAGACAAAATAAACTATTTAAACTATTTTTCTTTTACCAGGCAAGGCCCACTGAGATATATAGTTCCTTTTCAGACATGAGCTGGCCACAAATGATAGCTCAACGAAGTGGCTTATCATGTGGAAATTTATACCAGCCAAATACTCTTCAAGGCATGTTTCTAAATGTGGAAGACCCAGTGAAAAATCCACGTAACCACAGGGAAAATGTGCAAACTCCAAATATACAGGTGTCAGGATCAGAATCGAACCTACAACCTCTTGCATACCAGGCGAGGTAGTTAACATCTCGCCTCCACTCAAGACTACATGGAGTAATGGACACAAAAAACAATTTCTCATCTGTTATCGGCGAGTATTGTACTGTGCTTATTGAGTTGCCATGTACAATGTTGTCCAGCTATGGACCTACAGAACAACACAGATAACAACACATGTATTTACACATTCTTGGAAGTCAACATTGCTGGGCAGCAACAAACATTTATAGACTTGGCAAATGTGAAACAATGCGATGCGATGGGTCAAGTGGCTGTCCATGTGCTATATATGTAAACGTAGATGGCTCCAGTGTGTTAAAAATGCATCGGTGTCACACAGATTGATTTTAACCTCACAGAGGAGAGGAAAAAAAACAAGATGGTCTACATTTTATTGGGTATATAAATAACAAAAACTTAAGAAATCCATCAATAACGTTGCCCGAAGAGCAAACACAAAAAGGGCTGCTGCCCGAGACGTCTCTTGTAAAACATCGCCTATTATATTATACGTACTCTTTCCTTTTAGGGTAGTGTTATTGAAGGATCTGTAGTGCTTTGGTTATTTGTGTTTTTGCCAATTCAGTATTACAAAAATATGTGTCGGGGGGGGGGGGTGCTCGCTGGGTGTGGCGCACAGAGAGTAGATGTCATTCCTGCAGCTTTCAGCCAAAGGCGTGGCCATTTAAAGCACAAAGAAACAACCCGTGTAGAATAAGGCAGTGTTCGTGTGCATTCCTATTCGCGCCCGAGAGAAACATTTAACGGCGTGAAAGTCGGTGGCTGGAGAGGCACTTTGCAGGAGCTACTTTTATCCCAGTGCATTATAAAAATTCGTCTATGATGCTGTTTTTTTCTCTCTTTCTTTTCGGGCAGTATTCTTGCCGATTGTGCCGAGTTTTTCATTTTACTTAATGGGCTGGGGTCACCTGAGTATGAGTGGTGTGTGCCCCATGTTAGACGAGGATGCTCACCAACTTACACCGAAGAATGTGGGGAAGTATGGTAACATGTGTATCCCACCATCGCCTCCAATGCCACTCGTTTGCGGGTGTCGTTTGACTAATGAAGGCTCAATATGGGATCTTTCTTGCCAGTATTAAAATATAACAATAGGTTTTACCCTTTCTGGCAATAAAACAGACATCAAGATGTTAAAACACCGTACAGAATCCTTATTAAAGGAATCCTGTCTGCATTAACCACACGTACTTGTGGTGAACATGCAAACAAAAAACATGCTCTAATAATATATGCATTCTTTGAAACCGATTGGTCCACACCAAAGACAGCTTTCTTTTGAGCCTCGTCTCAAAGTGTTAGACCAGAGAACGTCAAAAGGCGAACTGCACAAAGACAATGCACTCTCAGGGCATTTATAGCTCGGGGCGAGCAGCTGCAATATGCTGAAAAACATTAGGGGCTCCCTACAAATCAGAGCCCCTTTAAGATGCCAGATTCCAACGGCCCTCACTTAATGACGTCGCTCTTCGTCTACATCAAGGATGAGAGGTGGGTGCGGCGGGTGCCTTGGCTACATTTTGTTTGCTCTATAAGGAAAAGTTGCAAAGTTTCAATGAGACCAAGCCAATCAATGGAGGCAGGCAGCCCACGATTATTATGTAACGTGCAGTCATGCGCATTCCAAGTTTTCCATTGCCGTCAGAGCTGCGAATGCCGTCGTGCCTATGACCTCTCTGCCTGTGCCAAAGTCCAGCGGGACAAGGTACGGTCCCTGTCTTTGGCAGAGGGCACGGAGAATTTGGAAATAAAATATCTGTGGGTAGTTCAACAACTCCGGACGTGCACTTAAGACGCTTCAAAGATGTGGGCAACCATGAGTTTAACCAAGAAGTCCGTTTTAAATTGTGTCATACACTAAACACCATTTAGGACTTTAATTCAGAGATACATCGTTTGTCATAATTTCTTGATGAGGAAAATTAATCCCCTAGGCCATTATTTCCTTCATGGATCATGTTGCACCTTCAAAATTACACCAACATACGAAGGGACAGCACTGGCGAGGTGCCGTGTGCTGCCCTCAGGTGAGATCGCCCCACCACGTGACAACAGGTGATGCTGCCCCTTGAAAGAGTGACCTTTAGGTCACGTGACACATGCTGCCCACATGGAGATATTCTGACCAGGCGACACGTGCTGCCCCCGGGCGAAATGACACAGATGAGATGATAACCCTATGTGACACAAGCGAGATGACAGAATTGGGTGGCACAATGATACTTTAATTGTAGGTGACACAGGTGAGAGGATGGTCCCGAGGTGACCACAGGTGAGATGATGACGGTAGCCCCAGGCTACCCCTCACCAACAACCACCACCACCACCGCCACCACCACGACACACACGCACCACAGGTGAGATGATGACGGTAGCCCCAGGCTACCCCTCACCACCAACCACCACCACCACCGCCACCGCCACCACCACGACACACACGCACCACAGGTGAGATGATGACGGTAGCCCCAGGCTACCCCTCACCACCAACCACCACCATCATCACCTCCTTTGCAGGGCGTGCGGTGCTGGCTGTGCTGCGCGCGGTACGCCTCGATGACCTCCCACTCGCCGTTGTCCCTCTTGATGGGGAAGCAGACGCTCAGGATGTGGTTGCACGGCTTCACGATCTTGAGGATGCCCCGCACCCGGCGTCTCTTCTCTTCGGGTGACTCCCTCGTGCGCAGGTCCTCCACCAGCTTGTCCTCCACGATGCTCACGCCGCGGTCGAAGAAGCCCTCGACCATGCGGAAAAAGTTGGGGTCGTCCACGTCCGTCGAGTCCGTCGAGGCCGCCGCCGACGAGGACGCCAACGTTGCCGTGGACGAGAGCGGCCGCGCGGTCGGAGCAGGCCCCGTCAAGGCGACGCGGGAGGCGGCGGCCCGCAGCGCGGGGAGGCTGAGCAAGCGGTGCATTGCGACGGGGGAGTCGAGTCGAGTGCGGGCGGTGGTGGTGGTGGCGGTGTGGAGGCGGCGGTGTGGAGGAGGCGGTGTGGAGGAGGCGAAGTGAAGCGGGACCCGGGGTCGGAGTCTAACCGGGGTGAGGTGGGGGCGGGGGCAGTCTGAGCTCAGCTGATGGGGCGGATGTGACGTCATCGGCGGTGTTTGTGCGGCCATCTTGGTGAGGGGTAAAGTTGATTTGAGCGAGTCGCGCAATGGGGGGTGGTGAGTGGCGGCCATATTGATACAGGAGCGCCGAGTGGTGGTGGTGAGGGGGAAGCCGAGTGGTGGTGGTGGTGAGGATGGTGGGGTGATGGTGAACTGGTGATGCTGGTGATGCTGGTGCGTGACTGGTTTAACTCCATTGACCCCCCCCTCCTCCCTTATGATAAGTCCAATGTCCGCCACGGTTCGTGACAAAAACAACAACTGTTAGACTGCACTGTAGTGTAATGAGAGTGGTTGGCGCCTCGCGCTGTGAGTTCTCGCAAGCCCCTTCGCCAACCCGCACTGCACCAGCGTGGTGAAGTGTGGCCGGACAACCCCCTATGAGCCCACACGAGCTGGGAGGCCTCCATCAGCAGCAGTGGGGTTTACTTGTAAACAATAACAATTTGTATTGCATTGTCAACATGAGCACTGTTTAGGCGCGTAATGGGTGCAAGCTGAATCCACGTGCTCACACACGTGTGTGTGTGTGCTTATTTAAATTGCACAATTGCGGTCAAAGTCTTAGCAAATCATTGCGTTTCTTTTACAGCGTATTGTGTTTCTTGTTTGATCAAATGTTCGGTTTTGTTATTAGAATTTTGATAGTATTGTCGGTATTGTGTTTTATCCCAGGTTTCTCGATTGAATAAGAGAGTTGTGTTACGGCAGTCCTGTATATCAGACGAGTTCTTCGTTTGCACGCGGCTGGCGGGCGGAATGAAAGAAGATTCGACAGTGGTAAGTGCAGAGCTCCCAATTTTCTTAAAGAGAAAAAAAAACTACTTAAAATGCTTTCTAGGAACGTGCCGCTGTGTTAATTACGTGTCGAACTTCTTTCGCACCGTACGTAGCCAACCACCGCTATTCGGAGATGCGGGTGGAAGGACAACAAACTAAACACGAACGTCACTTGGGATGAGCAAGGATTTGTATTCGAGTCTTGACAGTCGGGCACACGCAACTATCCACGTGTATAATAGTTTGTTGGGGGGGGGGGGCATTTCATGGAAATAAATATTAACTCTTCTTGGTTCTTTCGGTAAAGTCACGTAGAAGGGAAGTAATAAAATAATAAAAATAAAACATAATAAAATAATTCTCACGACGTTTCGGCCACAACGCAAGCAGCCGTCCTCAGGCGAAGACTTCCCTTCTACGTGACTTTACCGAAAGAACCAAGAAGATGAATCCCTGTAGTCACGAAAGCTTTAAATCGAAATTTAAATATTAACTGTTACATGAGTCACTCCAGTGGGAATGAACGCATCAAATTGATTTATTTTGGACTTTTAATTATTTAGGAACGAGTGCGGCTAGTGTTGATTTAAATCGTATGGAATTGTTAAGGAAATCAAACGGATTAGAAAATAGTAAGCACACAAAAGACATGTCGATGGGACCCTTTTGCCAGTATCAAGAACATTTCTGGCATAACACAGGTGTTATAATACCATATAGACACACGTCTGTGTCCATGCATGAACATACAACGTTTAGATCACCAGCCTATGGGTTTTGATCCAATGTTTTCCAGCAAAGAGTTTGGTGATTCTACAGTAACGGAGTTATAAGATCAAATGCAGTTACATCAGAGATGTTTTACTAAAGTGTTGCACGATGGGGGTTCATCCAGCAGTGGATTGACAAAAAAGGTGACGCATGTTTCGCATCAACCTGCTATGAAAGAACATGACAAAACGAAAACCCCGATTCGCTTTACATTTTGTGAAGGTCAGATTCCATGCCCTGTTCTATAATGAATTTAATTGATTTAAAAACAACAGACAATATGCATCCTCATATTTGATTATTGCTATGTATTTGTTAAATCATGAAAGTCCTGGTACCGTTAAATTTCGATTTTAAGCTTTCGTGACTGCAGGGATTCATCTTCTTGGTTCTTTCGGTAAAGTCACGTAGAAGGGAAGTAATAAAATAATAAAAATAAAACATAATAAAACAATTCTCACGACGTTTCGGCCACAACGCAAGCAGCCGTCCTCAGGTGAAAACCAGGTCCGTCGAGGCGACAGAGTCTGAATGAAACAGCACACGAGCTTGGAGCATATATATAAGCTGGTACCGGTTTCGAATCCCCAAAAAATCCGAAAACTGGGGAGCTCTGCTCTACTGGACATCTGTGAAAATGAGCTTTATCGCTCATCGGATTCCTTCAGTACTAATACACATTCTGATTCCAGCCCCATCATAATATCGTGACCATTTAAACACAATACTGCCGAGCAGAGGGAGCTTATTTTCTCTATGAACATTCTCATGGTTGGTATGTGAATAACATCCACAGACTTAGCGAGAAGTTTACACACATACTGGATGTAATGTGAAATGAAATCTGCCCTACTCATGGGTTAGCGAGGTTGTCTAATAGCAAGCGTCCTTCACTGCTCTTGCTCGGATCAACGCCACGCGCGGTGGGGTCGTGACAAGGGGGCGTTGTCCGTTTCGTGCTCGCAGCCAATGGCAGGAGGGGGTGGTGTCCGCCTTGTTTGTCTGCGGGGAACCCGGTAGTGGGTGCCACGTGGTCTCGCCAGACCCACGTGTTGACAGAATTGTTTCGGCCAGTGGCAGTGTTTGCTAGTACGCGTTGGTCAGTAAGCAACTTTACGATATTATTTATAGACTGATGTGATATAATGTAAGGGAGATATCACAGCCCGTTTCCGTCCACTGCTGGATAGAGAGTCCTCCACCCGCTCCAAGTTGGTCATGGGGATTGTTTGACCGACCAGACTTTGCTGGTCAGTGCAGGTTTGGGGATTGTGCAGGACGAGTTCAGAGATTACTCGCCACTGATGTTTTAGACTTGGCCAGGAATTTAACCGGGTTTATAGCGTAGTACACAGACTACAGTTTAACGGTTCCCCATGTGATAGGGTATTATACTGTGGACATGTTTAATGTTTGTGGGGCCAGACCTGTTTGTATTTGTGTGCCATTACCTTTAATATAATTTTGTGAGCCGAAATGCGACGTTTTAACTGCGGTACTTCTACAAGTTTGTCAACCCTGTCAATGTAAGCCGCAGGCTGTGAACTTTCAAACTCTTACCGCATGCTGATTTTCAAAGCTAATAATACTGCATGATACTTTTTTTATCAGACAATCGGCAAGCACGTTATTTGGACGTTATCGTCCCTCCAACCAGCCAGCAAAACTTGTTAAAAAAATAATACTATATTATATAGCACGGTTGGCTACGTTCGGTGAGCAAGTAGTTCAACATATGAAGTATGGTGAACCCCCAACGTCTCCACCTCCCCACCCCTGAGTGACCTCTCGCGCGTGACAGCCGCCAGGCCCCCCACCCCCACATGCCTGCCCCCCAGTCGCCCTCCACCCGCGCCTGCCTCCTTGCCCCCCCCCACGCACCCACCACCCGCGCTTACCCTCGGTGCCCCCCCCCCACTCTCTGCACGCCCCCTCCCCTATACGTGCTGTGCTTCGCCATGGCCTCCAGCCAGACGGGTGGCGTGCTGGGGTGGATAGCCAGACAGCCAGTCAGCCAGCCAGCCAACAAAACTTCTAAAATTGTACTAACTTACTTTACCAGGTAAGGCCCGCGAAGCTATGTAGCTTTTTTTCAGAAGCGACCTAGCCACAAATGATAGCTCAAAGAAAGTGGCTTTTGTGGAAATGTATCCCAGCCAAATACTCTTTAAGTGCGTTTCTCAATATAATATGAATCTGATGCAAAATGTTTCTTTGAAAATCTTTATTTAAACACAGTTGCCGAGCACAGACCAAAACGCACAAAACGCCAAGCAGCCAGCAACAAACATCACCTTTGAAGTTGTTTTAGATAAGATATACAGGCAGACCTCGCTTAGCGCTCTTGATGCGTTCCTGGAGAAGTGAGCGCTAATCGAATCAGTGCTAAAAGCGGTCATTATACCGTTGTATAGATGGGGAAGCATTCCCGACAGCAGCATTATTAATTTAGCATGAGCAACATATTATGGGGCTTCATTGGGGTATTGGTAATAGCGCTAATATTTCAGATGGGAAACAATTTTTCATAAGTAAATATATTAATGCATTATTACAACATTAATATTATGTATTGTAATCACAAGGCCATTCTACTCCTACAAGGCAGCGGTGGGAGATGGGGTTGGAGGAGCTTCTGCTGCACTCCCAATCTGCGTCATTCTCAGAGAAGAGATCCAGGACCTCCGTGGTCTTCGTAATGCCCTCGGTCTACATTCTGTGGTGAGGTTGGAGCCTGAGAGTCTATACTGGTTCCGTGAGTTCTCACCTGACTCAACGATTATACTGTAAATATTGAAAAAGTTTGATTACATTTTTTTTATTTGTGACTACAGATAGTGATAATCGAACCTCGGGGGGAGGGGGGTCTGTTTGGCTCAGCGTTTGTCGCTCTCATTGGTCGAACGACTGATGGGGGTTGGGGCATTTCCTTGCCCAGCGCTGCTGCGTGTTCTCACTCGTAAGCACTTTATAATATTTTGAGTTTCTTCATTTTTTTAGTAAACAACAAAATACAGGACGTAGAGCGCTTCAACGAATCGGCATGTAATGTGTTTCTCGAATTGAGCAAGGTTGTAGCTGATGGGACGGAATTACAAAGTGGGGCAGTGTAAGAAAAGCAGGATACATGTTTTAACCTGCAGTACTGCGGTTGGACGCAGTACGGACTAGAAATGATAGTTTCAGTCGACCGAGTCATCGGCATGGGTGGTATGCACTGCGTGGACTTGGCCACTGAGTTGTGCGGAGTTTGGAATTGATCCAACGTGCCGCGGGTTTTGCGCGAGGGAACGCCTCTCCATGGCCAGCTCGTGTAACACGAGGTGGGGGGGTAGAGGAGAACACAGACACCGCAGTGTTCATGAACGCCCCCCAATGCTCGTTGGCCGAGGGTCGGCCACTACCCCCTCAGACTCCAATCGGCAGCTCTCAAGTTGCGTCAGTTGTGTTCAGTTGAGCTCTGTCGTCTGTATGAACCTCACTGGAATTCAGTAACCGGCGATAACTCGTCACCGGCTTCGGTAATTCTGGTCACTGTGGCTACAATTAGAATTTTTTTGAAAATTAAACGGAGACGTTTTTTATTCTCATTTATCGTTCACTATGAGTCTTATGACCAGATTAAACGGGGTGCACCCACCCCATCTCATCAGATCTCGGAAGCCAAGCAGGCTTGAGCCTGGATAGTGCTGGGACAGATGACTGCCGTGCATAAAACACGTGGTGTAGGCTGCTGTACGCTTACATTGTCAGCAGAGAGCAGGAGAGAAACATGCTTTGTTGTACTGTACTATGCTTCCAACGCCTATACTCTTCTTCACCTTCACGAACCTCAACTATCAAGCATGGTGAAGTATGGTCACATAACCCCCACGATCCACACGACGTGGGGAGGCCCTCATCCAGCAGTGGATTGACAAAGGGCTGTATATTTTTTCAATAAGTAATAATTGTTTTGCTCGGTGGTTGGATATATTTGTAAAGGAGACACGAGCTGACAATCTTGAAACAAGCTTTACAATGTGAGCAGTATACTACAGGATTAATATCATGTTACGTTGCTCTTTACGATCGGGAGGGTATGCATCGGTGGCAATTTAGTGATATCTGAATCCATCTTGCCTCTTCTTCGTGAACTCGCGCTGACCAGAGTGGTGAAGTATGGTCGGACATTCCCCATGACCAATGTGCTGTGGGGAGGCCTTCAACGATGGATGCTAAAAGAGGGCTGAAAATTGTCCTGGACTTCAGCGGTATACATTGTTTAAAGAAGCGTTATTTTGTTTAAAAAAATGTTTGGCTCGAAAAAGCTGAAAACACAATTTGTAAGCCCAGTAGATGTGTTCTAAACGAAGGTAATTTCTGAAAAGATGTTAGCACAAGCGGTGGACATTAGTATGTGCTGGGTGCATGCAAGTTATCTCACAATAACTCATTAAAATGGCAAACTGGGTCAAGAATTGGCACGTGTGGAATTTTCAGGATGGACTCGTTTAAAATGAGTTTATTTTGCAAACAGTGATAAGTGCTCGGCGAGTAAATAATCCGTTACTAGTTTCAAGCAGCCCAATAAAATAGAGGAAAGAGCAAAATAAAATGGACCTTTTGTCGTTGGACTCCCTAGGATATTGATATGTTCTTGCAGTAGACAAAACATACTACAGTTGTGGACCAGGAAACTCAAGGCTTCCTTAATCTGGCTCCCCCACACAGTAAATTATAGAATGTAAAAAAAAATAATCCGTGTTCACATTGTTCGTACATTGGCTTAACACGTAGGCTTTCATAACCAATATGCAGGGTTTTTTTTGGTTGTAATTACCGACGAAACATACTCGAATTGTAAGTGTGCTGAACTAGTAACCCATTGGCATGTTGTGTTACGTGACAAACCTTACTAATTGGTTGTGTGGGCTGGTGGCGGGTTTAACAACACATATTTACCCAATCTAACTTAAAAAATAACTCGTTTTGACATTGTTCGCTGTAAGCTGGTTGGATGCTACTATGGTCCATCGGTATGTGTAGAAATTAGCTAATGGGATGAAGTACCTGCAGCTCATGACTTCACTTCATACGGCCACAAGAGGTCTGTCGCTTCGAAACGACTCAAATCATTAATTAGCGGGCTATATTTCATATCTCCGTCACCACGTAAAAAATATAAACATTTCTTACACAGTCAATCAGCCGCACAGCTGTCTGGGAGTGCATAATTCCAGCAGCATAGATCCAAGACAAGCAATATCTGGTCCAGTTTCAACGCACATTGTCTCATGAGTAGAGTCAGGCTTGCTTGAATCAAGGGTGAACTGCCGATCTTCCAAGCAAGGCGGGCGAGGTCCCTGTCTTTACGCTATGGCGTCCTAGTTTTCAGCAAAATTAAATAACATGGAAAATGTTCTATTCTCCACAATGACGTGAATGATTATTTTGAGTTATGCACACAATATAATCAGCCACCAAGTTATTTGCGCTAATCAGGTTCTCTACTAAACCTAGATTGAAAACTAATTTATTTAAAACGGCTTTTTGTGTTTAGTTGTCCTCCCCCCGCACGTCCGATAAGCACGTTTGGCGATGTGAGGTGTGAAATAAATTAATCCATAATACAGGTTTTTTGGGTTAGATTGTGTAAATATATAAATGCGCCGTTAAACCCGCCACCACCCGACACAGCCAACTAGTAAGGGTTGTCACGTAAACAGAACGTGCCAATTCGTCACTAGTACATCACACCGGTGTGTGGAGAGCCAAGCCATAACATTAACAATCTGAGTACGACGTTTTGCCAGAAATTACAACTAGCTTTATCAGGCGACACATATTTATGCGATCTAACCCAAAAAGCCTGTATTATGTATGATATTGGTCGTGAAAGCCTATGCGTTAGACTAAGTTCAACATACATGCATGTACTCGAGTTGAAAAGTTTTCCGGTCGGCCACACTGCTGCTAATTTGAACACACTCAGTCAATTCTCTCAGTGCTTGGGCCTTTGCAGTGACAGAAGTGACGAAGGTGCTTGTTAAAGCGTTTCTCCCAACCGGTATCGGAAAGTCCTATTTCGCCCCTCGATTGGGAAAAGTTTCCCCAACGCTGTTTTACGAGGGCGTTTGCAAATATTTCTCCGAGCTATTTGATGAGTCGACTTGACCATAGCGCAACGTTTAGTTTCCAAGGGAACATCTTTTTTCCACTCATCGTTCTACTCTCCTGCCCCGCTACGATCGCATGGATGCTCTCTGGTCATTACACATGTCGCGTGATTAATCGTGGGTTCCTGAGGGACGACGGGTGCGGTCAAAATGCAAGTTTGGTGCAATCAAGGAGGTGTAGCACTGATATATATATATTTATTATGTGTCAGGAAACTGGCTTGCCGGCGGTTTATTTTTCGTTCTTTTGAACGCGTAAAATTATCGTAAACATTATTTTGTTTCCAGTTGGCACCACTGAAGCTGAGACTGGTTTCTGTTTCCTGGCAGGATGTTCAGAACCTGGCAAGCGGGGGGGTTCCTTTGGACCTATTTGTGCTGCCAGCCTCATCTGCCCACAATGCTGCTACAACCGCCTGTTGGCTGCATCTCTCAACAAATGGAACGTTTGCGTCACAGCATTGTCAACGTACTCGCATGGGATTTTAACGTAAAAAAAAAACATCAGAAACACCTCATGCTTTTTAATTTACCCCCCCCTTTTTTACATACAACAATCGATCAATTGTACACTTGAAAGTCTGGGAGCGAATTGTGAATTGTGTGGACTGTTACAATAGAGTGGGGATCTGCTGCCAAAATGAAATATGACAGTGCTGACCGTTGCAAACCCCGAAACAAATAAAGCAACCGCTGCAAACAATAGCACCGCTGAGAAACTCGATGCCAGATATATTTCGTGGATACTCCCCTCTCATGCAAATTCACATCGCTGTATATATCGCTCTTCCAATATGGATGTAATGAATTCCTTCAAAGGATTATTTTAACAAAATGGGATTCCAATGCGGGGATAACAATTGCTAATCATGGAAGGCGTAGGCTTAAAACTACACTTGAAAGATGAATATCTTCAAGACGTCGTGTGAAACTCTGGAGATTAAATGAATACCGTTGGAGAATCTGTCCTCACCGATACTTGCTTAGATATTAGAACGTAGCGTGAGCGGCCCACCAATGTGAGAGCTCCCAAACTTTTTTCCAACGCAACGTGAAGTGTTGGTGTGAAATTATCGAGAAATGAGCACCGGCGGGTCACGCCGAGTGAGGAGGGTGCACGTGTTTGTGGGCGCCCCCATCGTTAACCCCGATTGTTGTGACATGAGGAACAACGTGCCGGGGTCGTCAAGACCTCCAACGGGCTTCCAGGAATTCCTGTGCACTTGGCAAAAATCCACGTCGCAGCTCCTGCTGAAATCCACCTTCAGTGGCAGTGGCCGCGGTGATGGCAGGATTCCAATGTCGGCCTCTACAGCGGGAAGCGGCGCGACCGAGCAAAGGGTGGACCACGATTGGGAGGATGAGGGCGAGCCTTGCGTGATGGACGGCTCCCAAGAACTCTTCGACCTGCAGCCGTCTCTCCAGGAGTACTTTGACAGCACGTTCCCCGGGCCGTGTGATGACTTGACCCTCGGCAGCGCCGCTGCTGCCAACCATCACAAGTGGTTCACGAATCCATCGGCGAGGACGTTGCAGGCTTCGGGGAGCCTCGCAAGCCAGTCCTCCGCCGACGACTATTCCCAAGTAACCTTTCCTTCTCTTCTGACCCAGCAGCCGCCACTGGTTGCGGCATCGGCCTCGGACCGGCTGCCGTCACCTCCTTCGTTGGCAAAATGGAACGAGGAGCCCGGCGGCGGCGGTGGCGCCGGCACCGTCTGCGAGGAGCACCGGCGCGGTCGCCCCAGTGGCCGCGACGTCGCGTTCAAGCGTAGCCTCGGTGCCGATGCCACAGAGCTCGGGCACACCTCGTGCAGCTTTGGCCTAGAGGAGCTAAGTTTCGAAGCGTTTGGATCGGGGGTTCTGTGCTCACAGGTCGTGCTGCCGACCCCCATGGCGCTCGAGAAGCACGGCGGAAAGGCGGCTCGGTTGAAACAACACTTGGTTAGGAAGAGGAAGTTGGAACAAGAGGTCAGAGGTCACGGCAAAGCCCTCAGAGGTGAAAATAACAAATTGGCGACTTGTGAAAATGAGAAAGATGCTTCCGTAATTTTGAGTGGAAATGAGAAATGTGAGTTGGAAGCATCCCACCCTTTAACCCATCCCTCTTCTATTGTTGAAACTAAATATGCTATGGGGGGAGCAGGGGAAATTATATCAGAAAATCCACAAACACCAATGCTGCCTTTGCCTGAAATCAATGAGTTTGAGCTTGCAAGTCAAGCCGATTGGGTCGAAGAGGCAGTTTCAGCCACGGACCCAAAAACCGAACGGCCAAGAGATGGCAATGACAGTGAAGCACGGGCGCCGGCGCTGATTGTCTCCGACCTGGGGAGGCTGCAGCAGCAGCAGCAGGAGAGGGCGACTCGGCTGCGGCGCGGCAACCCTCAAATGCGCGCCGTCCACACCACCCCGCTCGCCGACTGCACCGGTGGCGGCGGCCGTGGCGGTCCCGGCAACGGCCGCGGCGGCAGCTTGGGCGCGAAGCGACGGAACGTGCTGGTGGCCATGCTGGCCTGTCTGCCGGTGCAAGACGTGCGAGTGAAGAGGGGCGCCCTGGCGGGCTGCTCCGTGCCGGTGGCGGGCGTGGTGGCCACGGACCAGTCGTTGGCGAGCGCCAAGGTGGTGATGTGGAGACTGGCGGCATTCTGGGCCCTCCTGCTGGTGCCGGGCGACGTCGTCGTGCTCACAGGTAACGTGGCGGTGGGGGGGAGGGGGTTGCGACGGGCGACTGCCAAGGTGTACGATGCGGCGGCCGGTGGTGGCTTTCTCGTGAATGCGGTCGACGTGTCTCCCTGTTCAGATGAGCGACGGAGGTGGTGCTCATCTCCTCTGGCGTATCTGAGCCATTTGCAGAAATGACATTCGCATAGGAGCGAGCAATACTAATTTTATTAACAATTGGAAGGATCATGTGTCGACACCCTCGATTGGGCTTGAGCAGAAACCATCTCCTTGTGAGTTGAGTGCTTGAACCGCAGTGCTATGTGGCCGCATGTCAAACTGAAATTATTGTGAAGCCTTGCAGTCAAGGTTGTAATTTTGAAAAGTGTATACTGGGGAGAGATGGGGACGAGGCCATGAGGGGTGAAAATTCCGTGGTGATTTTATTGAAAGCCTTGGCTTTGGTCACCAAATATTTCAATTCGTATCATCAAATAGATTGCGACACCTATCGACTGGAGCATTGGCTGACCGGCAGATCCCTCATTCAGCCGGATGTTCTCTTGAACCGATGAGCTCTTTTTTTAGAGGTGACCTAGCCACACATGGTCGCTCATGAAAGTGGCTTATATCATCATATGTAGAAATTTATAGTCGCAGCCAAATCATCTCAGCGCATGTTTCTATATGTGGAAGGACAAACCGTAGGAACCCTGAGAATATTCCACATGACCCAGGAATATAACAAATGGACAAATATACAATATTCATTGTACAATATCCAAATGTACAATATCCAGGCATTGTCATGGTCGGAATCGAACCCAAGACCCCCTGCATACCATGCGAGGGAGATAACATCTCCTCGCCACCACGGCACCCCATTAGAAGAAAATAAGTCAAGGCGGGTCAGTGGCTCAGAGGGCCAATGCACCGCCAGTGCACTGATGCAGCACCACTGACATTTCTCGACGCCACCCATGATTAAACTAGAATCTCAAGGACAACAAGTTGATGGTTGCAGCTCGGTCACCAATGGCTGTACTTAAACATCTGAAAATAGAAATGTCGAAAGGCAGCGGTGTCAAATGTGTGTGCCGACTGCCGAGTGTGCGTACAGAGGCCTGTTGAAGTGACCCACAAAGGTAGTTCTTGTGACATGATTTTTCCGGGGTTGTTTTCTCACCATCCCAAGGTGGGGCACTGCTTTCTGTGAGCGGGAAAACGTCTTTGTCTCATGACGCGTGACGCAGGTAGACAACACAATTCAAATTGGGGACAAAGTAGAAAATAACCATGAGTAAAATAGGTCGCGCGGTACATTGCCCTGCCGCTCCAATGCCGGTATACGTTGTGTGCAGATGAGGATGATAAAAAGCTGTCCCTGGCCTTGGAAAGAGCCCAGCATTGTCTGTGAGAATCCTGCTTCCTGTTTACAGGGTGGGGGTGGGGGGGGGGGGGTCAGTAGGAATGACAAGCAGTCCACTTGCAATGAACATTTAAACTAATCTAAAACATTATTTTACCAGGTAAGGCCCACTGAGCTATGCAGCTCTTTTTCACAAGTGACCTGGCCACAGATGATAGCTCAACGAAGTTGGGTTATCATCACGTGGATATTTATTGCAGCCAAATACTCTCAACGCATGATTCTAAACATGGAGGGGAAATAACAGGGGACCCGGAGAAAAATCCACGTGACCAAGGGGAGAACATGCAAACTCCAAATACACAGGCGTCGGCGTCGGGATCAAACCCACGTCCTCCTCCATACCAGACGAGGGAGTTAATATCTTGCTGCCGCGCCACATTAGAAACGGTCACAAAATCGAAACTTTCTCTTGCACCCCGTGCTTTTCTAAAAGGTGGTCAGTAACGGCTGAGCACGTTGGTCAAGAATAATTACGGGAGTGTCCGACGAGATACGTCCAACTGTGAGATGTAGCGATGAAATCATCGCATGTGCAGGTGCCAGGTGAATTGGAGGGAGGCCTTCATCCAGCACTGGATTGACCATGGCTGCTTTTGATGATTATGGTGTGAAGCCAAATGACCTCACTTTTTTGGGGTGAACAACAATGGTGTCAAAAATGCAGCTTGAGTTATTTAACCGTTTTTGTTCCCCTATCGTTTCTGTTGATTGTCCCACCGAGGGGGCACTGTGTAAACGTTCCCACAGATACAAAGAGGCCCTGCATAACTCTTGCACGGCCCCGAATAACAAACTGTGGGTGGGGGGCATTGTGCGGCACGGCACTCGCTCGCCGTACCAGGCTACGCCACCCCGCCGTTTCCAAGCCTTCCTTCCATTATTTTACGCCCGTCCAAGAACAACCGCACCCACGGCACTGGCGGGGGTGGGTTTTTTTCGTGTGTTTTACACGAGGAATGTTTTCCAAAAACACTGGAGCCGCAGTCAAGTAATTGTGGTGTGCTGTACGTGTGTATCTTGAACTTCTTTCGCACCGTACGCAGACGACCGTGCTCGATTGTGTGCTTGTAGCACATTTTTTCTAAATTATTTACTTGCTATGAAGACAAGCCATTGCCCAAAACGTCACCTATTATATACTTTTTTTCCATTTAAGCCCACAGTTTATTGTGGGAAGCGGTAGTGTAGCGGTTAGCGCGCTGCGCTATGAATCTGGAGACACGGGTTCGATTCCCGCTCACGGCCAACACCAGTGATGATTATCTGAACCGGTCCTGAGCCTCCCCTAGGTCGACTCAGCCTGAAATGAGTACCTGGTGCGGTGTGTAAACATCGCCACTGGGGAGACAAAGGTGGTCGGGCGTGGTGCTGGCCACCCATCCCCTCGTGTACCGTTCCGGCCTTCATAGGTGCTCGCTAACAGCACTTGCCCTTACAGTCTGTTAAGGCTATACGGGGGATCTTTATCTCTCCGACGCATATTCTGGGTGTACCGGGAGGTGTTTGTTGAGCACGATGTCCTGATGCCGCACTGCACGTGCTGGTGGGAGCCTCCGTACGTCACAGCAGGGGCTCGACGTTGAAGAAGCTGCCACCACGTGGAGTGAAACGTCGGACTTCATGCCGAACAACGCGCGGTCGGTACAACTACAAAAAGGAAGAGCGGAGCTCTTGCAATGGTGCAGTATGTTGCCTTCCATTGAGTAAGTTCAGTTTTCCAAAAGCACTGCAGCCTGATTATCATCTTTTTAAACGTGGGCGTTGATACGGAAAATGGAACAAAAGCTGGAAAGCATTGAGAGGCGCGTGCTTGTAATCACGTTTATAAGACAGGTAGGGAGATGTTAACTACCTCGCCTGGTATGCAGGAGGTCGTGGGTTCGATCCTGACCCTGACGGCTATATATTTGGAGTTTGCGGTGTCTCTCTCCCCATGGTGGTGTGGATTTTTCTCCGGGTCCTCGGGTTTTTCCCCTCTCCATTTAGAAACATGTGTAATGCGAGCGTAAATGGGGTTGTTGCTGGGCTCTGGTCCAATCACACAGCCCGGGGTATTGGGGGGCGGAGCCTGGTCTGCGGGGCGTGTGGGAGGGGCCACCGTTTACCTCGGCTCCAATGGGAGGCGAGGTGAATGGGGGCGGAGCCAGCGGAGTAGTATGGGAAGGCCGAATCTGACGATCCGGAAGGGGAGGAGTAAGGGTCACGTGGGGGGAATGTATATAAGTGGGAGCCCGGAAGAGATCGGGGCAGTCGGGGAAGTTAAGAGTCTGAGCCACATTGGGTGGTGAGAGAGAGATCCGCGCCATCGGCCACGTGGCCGAAGGACCTCAGCACGCCGTCGGCTAGCGGTGTGCGGAGTGCGGGAGTAGAGGAGCTAGCGAAGGAGCGTGCATGGCACGCGAGAGGGAGCGTGCGCGGGGCGCGCACGAGACGACGCTGGTCCGAGGAGGAGACCAGTGGGGTGCGGAGAAGAACCTGGAGACCAGCAGTGCCTGACCGGGTCTTTTATTACACTGGTGTCAGAAGTGGAACGATATGTCAAAACATCTTAATAAAAAGAATATACTTGCACCATCTTCAGAAGACGAAGAGGACCTTCCTCCGGCGGTGGCGGTCCCGACCATGGAGGACGTGGGCGAAGTGGCGGCGAGCGACACGACAGGAGTACAAGATGTCGTCGCGGCGGCTGGGCCGTCTGCGTCGACGGGCGCCAAGGACGGCTGGCGACACGTGGCAGACCAGTTTGTTCGCTGCGGGCCGTTCTGCTGGATTTAGTCACCCTGGTCGCGCCAGCGATGATGCCGGGACAGCCACGCGGCGGGCCTTCAACCGGGGAGCCTTCGGGTAGGGCCGAGCCGTCCGCCATTGGGGCCTCTGCGAGGCTTCCCGCCCTTTCCGACACATGCCAGGACGCCACCATCTTGGGTGTGGTCGCGGCCGAATGGCGGGAAGCCGCCATCTTATCGCCGCCACGGCGGGAAGCCGCCATCTTGTCGCCGCCGCATGGAACGCCTGCATCGGAAGACAGCAGCTCGGTGACACGCAGCCATCGCCTGACGACGATTAAAGAATTCTCAGTTGGAGGAGATTGGAGCGCATTTGCGTGGCGTTTTGAGTCGGCCGTCCGATCCGCCAAGTGGACGGATGCGGAGGCCTTGGAAGTTCTGCCGACGCTCCTGGATGACAAGTCTTTGAAATTCTTCCGCTCCATCGCAGCCGCGAAGAAGGCGACCCTGAAAGGGGCATTTGATGAAATGGCAGAAGCGTACGAGCCTCTGGGCGACGCACACCGGAGATTTGTCCAGAGGCAACGGGCAACGGAGGAATCGCCTGTGGCTTTCCGGGGCGCTGTGCTTGAGCTGGCCATGGCCGCGTATCCAGAGACGGAGCCCGACTTGTTGGAGCCCTTCATACTGGGTAAGATGTTGGAGCTGTCCAAGGACTTGGGCATTCCACTGCCGGTGTGCGGCCATGAGCAGCTGACCTCCCGGATGGCAGCCAAGTGCTTCGACGCGATGTTCAACTTGCGCCATTGGGCGCAGATGACCGCCTGGACGGGGAGCCCGACCGTGGAGGGAGACACCGTCGGGTGGACT